GTATGTATAAATATACATATATACATATATATATATATATATGTGTATATATATATTTATATAGTTAATGTATATTCTAATAATATTTTAATGATTTGATTGCATCGTTAGAATTAACGCCCTTTTAAACTAATTAGCCGAATTTCGTTGGCTGCTGCTTCTTCTTATTTTTTGTTATGCATGTATATATAACGGTATATTGTATATATATAACTATTGGAAGGCGTATTTGTATAGGCTTTATGAAGTTGTCGATTCATAAATGTTATGCGTTTGTTATTTTCTTTGTTAAAGCTAATGGCTACGAATTTAAATGTGTTTTTTCTTTCTTTATCTTTTAATTTTAATTTTGCTCGGTATTACTTTTATTTGTTGTAAGTTATTTATTTATTGCTTTTTGTTGAGGCGATTTAAGTTTTTATTTATTTTTTGGGGCTGTAAATTTAAATTTATAGTTATATTAAATACACCAATAATTAAAAGTGTGCCCAGCTTATCAAAAGTTCGTCAAACCGAAATTGAACAAAAAAAAAATCACAGAACAACAACAACAATAACAATACCCAAGGACAATGATCTCTATCACACTCAAACTCTATTTTTGCTCTCTCTATCTCTCTCTCTGTTTCGCTTTTCTCTCAACAGCTGTTAAGCACATCAGACGAATGTCAAAACACACACAAGAGAATGTTAGGTTTGCTGCCGTCGTTTCTTAACAGCTGTTGATCGCAACTGCATCTACAGAGTTGCCAACCACAATGTAAGCAAAAGAGGAGGCGCTGAGTTGCCAACGATTTCGTTGCAGCAGCTGCGATTTTTTCGAGTGCGCCCAACTCGCGCTGATGGAAAAACAGCAGGTGTTAAATAAAAAAATCAAAAACCTAAAAGCAACAACAACAATGTAATGAATTTGTAAGTACATTAAATTCTTATGTATTTATGTGTGTGCTTGCGCGAGAGAGCACAGAAAAGTTGCCCCCGCTCAATTGTTTTTGTAGTATTTCATTCATTATGCTGTGAGCAGTTGTTGTTGTTGCTGTAGGCATAGGCAGCCCAAAGGGCAACGCACGCATAACCGTTTTTTCTTTTCTTTTTTTTTGCGTTTGCTTTGTGCTTACAACAACAACAGCATTGAGAGCGCCATGGCGGCAGTTCCGTTACGTGCGAGCGAGAGAGATCGATTAAGCGCCAAGTGCCGTTTTGAAAAATATCCAACAACAACAGAAACACAAATACAACTCTACTTTGATGAAGTCAATGCGCATTTCACTTTTTCTCTACGGTTTTTTTTCTGCTATTTTTTGTCGTCTTTGCGAAAGCGAAATTTTTATTTTATGCTGCTGTTGTTTGTTGTTGTTGCTAACGCTTTAATTAATTTGCATAACATTTGCAAGCGCCGCAGAGATCGAAAGAGTCGGCGAGCGAACGAGTAAGTGAGAGAGGTAATAATAAAAATATTTCGCATTTATGTATATGTATATATGTGTGTGTTTGTGTGTTTATGCATGCGTGTATTGGTTGGCCAAAAGGGGGCGGCATAGGCGCGGCGGCGTTGCTCTACTTGCGGCGACGTCGACGGCGACGGCAATTTTAACGCGGCGTTGTTGTTTTGTTGTTGCGCTTTTGTCACAAATAATTAATAAACACAACTTACTTATTATATTTACTTTTAATTTTGCCTTTGCATTATTTGATTTTTATTTATATATTTGCTTTGCATGAACTTTTCCACTTATTGCACATACACTTTTTATAATTTGTAAAATATATATTTATTTATCTATTTCGCATGGCGTATAGCCGTTTGACGGACGCGTGAAGATGGAAAAATGTTTCACGATTTTCGCTATCGCTCTTTTTTCTCACATCTTATGCGGCGCGACGACGTTCTGTTACTGAGAAATAAAAACTGTAAGCACTGGCGCCAACTGCTAACCGGGTCTGTTAAGTGTATGGACTGAGAGACGAAATGTTGACTCAAATTGTACATGTTAAGCAGAATGTTATTTAACAGGTGGTGCTCGCGCTCTGCTAAATTTTGCCTTGAAGAGAGACACCGACTGAATAAAACGGCGAGAGAGCCTCTACTATGTTAACTGCAATTGTCTCTTGATGACGATCATTAGGCATAATTTCAATAATATTATTTTATTATTTCACTTTCTGCTTGTATTTTGCATGATATTATTTTTTATAACAACATATGTTTCCCACTTTGTTTTTTTATTGCCGCGCATTCCACTTTGTAAGCTCTTTCGCTCGCAGCTACTGTAAAATTGTGAATGAATGTTTGAGAGCGGCAGTCACGTAAAAAATAAAAATTGAGAGAGGAGATGAGAGCGCGCGCCTGACGTTTTCGCCTGTTGTTTGTTGTTACTTTTTCTAGCTCTCCCTGTGAGTGTGTGTGCCATTGTGTGTGTGTGTTTGTTGTTGCTGCTAGTTAGCGCTAGTGTTGCCAATGCATTGGAATCTGAAACCGTGCGAAAATCAACAACAACAAATGCTCCTGTTATGAGTTTTTTTTTTTGGTTATTTGTTTGTTTGTTGTTGTTGGCACTTCTCTTGTAATGTGGTTTGCTGTTATTTTGTAATTTTATGGCATGAATCTATTTGCATGGGATCATCATTCATACATATAAACATATGTAGTTAAACAAATGATTATAATTAATTATAATAGTTTTTTAGCACTTGTCTCTAATTGATATATCAAATATCAATCTCTTTTTTATTGTGCATTAAATTGATCCTTTTAATCGCTTTGATATTTTCAGATTTAACATTTCGGCAAATGTTAACAAGTCTCAATGTTATTTTGTCTGTAGTTATTGGCATGTCCGTTTCAAACAATTAAGTTCTTATCAGAATACGTGATATCGTTGTATGTGTGTGTGTGTGTTCCACGGCTAATCAAATAAAAACCGAAATGCAAAACAGGTAAAAGGCAATAAGAATAGCAAATGGCAACTGTTGTCAAGTCAATACAATCTTGTTAAAATCAAGAGTTTTAGTTTTTGCAACTAAAAAACTAAATTAGGCAAAAACAAATAAAACTCACACACACTGTAATTGATGAGTGTGTGTTTGTGACAGAGAGAGAGAAAGAGAGCACTGTTAGCAGTAAGAGCGGCTTGTCTGACATTTGACGTTTATTTGTGCGCTTTGCGCATTCACAATAAGCGCGCGAATCGCGCATAGCAAATTAAAATTAAAAAGGCATCTACAAAAAATTACACTTCAAAATGAGACGCATTGAAATTAAGAGAGCAAGGCAGAGAGAGGGAGATAGCGAATCGACGAGCAGAGAGTAATAGAGAGGGGGGGAGAGACTGTTGACGAACTTTTGACTGGTCAAACATTTGTTTATAATCAATGTTAACATGACATTACTCACCTTTTGTTGAACTGCAAAACGCATAAAAAGAGTTTGTGCGAATTATACAAAATGTTTAAACATTATTTAACACAAATACTAGTGCACTAGCACACACACACAAGCATAGACTGTGACGAGACGAAACACACACACACACCAACCGACGCGACATGCTGCTATTTTTTTCTTTTTCTGGTTCTCTTTTCTTAACACAGTGTTGTATAGCAGCGAATTATGGCTGTGTTGTTGTGCTCGGCGCGGCTGTTGCCTTTTACACTTTTAAAGTGTGTATGTTTTTTTATATTACATTTTAATCAACAACACACAAAAAAAACGTACGCAAACTGCAGTCAAAGTCACACACACAGTTTCACATTCACACACACATACGTTCGTACGCGTACTAAGACTCACACACACACACTCACACAAACACACACATGAGTGGGGCACGCACACACAGCAACTAGTAAATTCTGCGACACTTACGAAAAAATTATTTCTTTTTTTTTTGTTTTTTTGAGTGTGTGTGTGCTGCCTAAATTAAAAATTTGTATTGCTAATAACACTGCACATACTTTGGCATATTCGGCCAGCTGACGCTTTTGGCTGGCAATTGTCGTTTGGTAGTTAATTGTAATGCGTTTTTTTGTTTTAAATCGAATTAATATAAATTTTTGTTGCGTGTTTTGCTGTTGTGTGCAACGAGTTTTTTTTGGTACTGTGTGACCGAAGTATGCGAATAATTCAACAGCTGTTTTCTGCATCAAAATCTGGTCACATGAAATCTGTTAAAATTATTCATAAAATTGTCACACCTTTTAGCGATAACAACTCGATAAATGCATTAGTTTGAATATTACAGTGCCATTTTAAGTATTACAGCTTAGTTAATGTTATTACTTGTTCGCTGCGGACAATAACAGCAAACACTGTAGCATTAACATAATTTGACCGAATTATTCAATGCCAAGCAGCAACAGTTGTTTTCAATATAGGCTAGTATGCTGGTCGCGGTGCAGTTGCAAGCAAATCAATGTGGGAGCATAAGTTAATTAAATAAATAATTCGGATAAAAAAGTTAAGTTGTTTATGTAAGTATGTCTGCTTAGTGGTTTAACCCAGCAATAAAAGTAAATTTTAAGAGTTTATTTTGATGGTGACATTCAAATTGAACATATTACATATTGCCGTTAATTAAATTATTTATTATTTGTATTGTATAGCATTTAAATAAAAAGTGTGCGCTCTAATAAATGCAAAACAACGCTGACAAAGTACTTAAGTAAATTATATTTTTCTGCGTATTGTTTATTGCACCATCTTAACAGCGACAGCGAAGTGCAGTAAAATGTTTCTGATAATGCAGCTGTTAATGCAGCTGTGAATACAGCTGTTAACGCTGCTGTTAATGCTGTTTGTTTTGTTGGGTTCGACTGCTGCCTGTTTGAAAATAACAATGTATTTAAATCATTTGTATAGGTCTAGCAAATATGATCTGTTTGAACGGCCAAATAAAATCAGTTATAAAACAAAAGCCAGCCACATTTAAATACAGCTAATAATTGCGTGTTTTTGTTCAGCCGGTTTAACATAACATTTACAGGCACTGTTATTGCAATGTTGTTTGTTTTGGTTTGTTTTTTTGAACGTTTGCCATCGATTGAATAATAACAATAACAAATGTTGATTTGAGGCTTGTGTCAAACAGTTTCATTCGAGACATTAACAAAAATGCTGCAAACAGCCAACAAGCTGAGCAACTGGTTAAATACGCTTAGCCAGCGCACTTCTCGGCGCGCATTGCATGTGAAAAAACGTGAAATTTATCAGGTGAGCAAAAGATTTTTGGTAAAAGAAAAATTAATAACAATTGTAATAATAATAGCAATGCTTTCGGGTGCTGGGCGTCCATGAGTCAGCGGATCAGGAGACGGTGCGTCGCGCCTACTTGGATCTGGTGAAGCGTGTCCATCCGGATGCGGATACCGAGGAGGCAAGCAACGAACGCTTCCTGCAGGTGGACGAAGCCTTTCGCATGCTGCAGGAGAAGTTCGCCAAGAGTCGTCGCAACATCACCGACGACGAGGACGATTCCCCGTTGGAGGAGGAGCAAATGGAGTTCGACATTAGGCATACGGCGCCCCAGCATCGTCAATATTTATCGAACGAGGGCATTGGCGTGGGCACGCCCAGCCAGCGCCAGAAACAATACCAACAGGTGCGCGCCATGAAAGCGCAGCAACGTGTGCTCGAGCATCGCATCGACAAGGCGGCAGCTGGCGAGGATGCACTGATGTGCAAGGGCAAGGGAGGCAGCTATTATGGCAAGCATGCCATCAAAACGAAATATGGCATCGATCGTGTTGTCGAGGATCTCATCCAGGAGGCCATGTCCAAGGGCGATTTCAATAATTTGCATGGCGCTGGCAAGCCGCTGTCCGCGGCCCAATCGCAGAATCCCTATTTGGATTTCACCACCCACAAATTGAACAAAATAATGTTGGACAATGGTTTTACACCCGAATGGATAACGCTGGGTCGCGACATCCGGGAGGCGGTCGCTCAGCTCAAGCAGCAGGTGCGCACGGAGCGCATCTATTACGGCGAATGGCCTTTGACGCAAACCGACCAGTTGGCCGCCTGGCAATCCTTTGTCCAGTCGCACACGGAGCAGGTGCAGCAGCTGAACAAACTGATCGACAAGTACAACCTAATTGTGCCCATTCTGGAGAATCAATACTTTCGTCTGCGTCTCGACAAACTGGCCGAGCGCATCTTCATGGATCCGCATCTGCCACGCAACCAGAAGCGTCCCCAGCCCACTGGCCACAGCGGCAACAGCGCCCAGCCGGGTGAAAGGGGCTTCATGGTCAATCTCTTCTCCATCTTTCTGTAGGGCAACGGAATGTGAAAATTTGTACAATTTGTGATATTAGCCAATTTGGGATATATACTCCAAAATAAAGATTGTTATGGGGATTTGTTATAGTTTATAATTTATTTATTTAAAGTGGTCTAAAAACAGTTCACAGTTTAAATAAAGAAAAAAGATTTTGAAAATTAAAATGTTAAATTAATTAACGAAATTAAAACGAAAGCCGTAATTTAAATGAAAAGACTTCAAAATGAATATCCAAATTCAAATTAAGAATTAAATAAAGAATATAATTAATCTGAGCCTATTCAAATAATGTAATATAAATTGTTTGGATTTGGATAAACCAGAATAAATTGCTTTCATGATGTAGACATAATTGCATAAATCAGTTATTATTATTAATTAATTAATTATTAAATATACCCAAATTGTTAAATTCAGTTATAAACTGAACAATCTAGTTTAAGGGGCGATAATAGCAGAGCTAATTTGCCCCTTATTATTTATTCGTTTAATGTATACCAAATGTAGTCCAAGACTTTTAAAAATATTCGTAAGAAATTAATTAAAAATATAAAATAAAAATTGAATTTGAAAAAAGGAGATTTTGAATTTAAAGTTGGAATTTCTGCCGTTTTGTTAAATGTTTTTTAAATTGACTTCAGTTTGCATTATTAATGCAATGATCATGAGCAACTCTTCCTGTTCAGCGACAATTGGCGTCTGTTCTGATTGTTTCCTGTTGGAATCGCCGAAACTACAGCTAAATTATTGACTCATTAACTAATTTACACAAAAAACAAGAAAAATCCGCTTACTTTGAGGCACCGAAGATTACATAACTTTGTAGACCGGATTTAATCTGATTTGGAAGTCAGGAGTTGAGAATAATATAAAGTTTTCTATTTATTGACAATCGTTGTAAGCAAATTTTAATTTTCATATATGTTTTTAAGTGTCTCATAGACCATAAATCTATTTTTTATATGTTTTCTATTTCTCTACTGGCTATGAATTAAATATTCATCACTTGAGTAGTTGTATTGTATCTGAAAAGGTGACTTAATTGTCAACGCCTATCTCCATCGTAACATAAGTTTTTCGACCGATTATTCCTTTGACAGCTATTTGATATAGAATACCAATAGTAGATAATATGCCAAGTTTCATAGTTTTGAATAAGAAGTTTTATTTAATTGTAATAATATAAAAATTAAAAAAAAAATATTCAAAAATTTCAAATTACTAATTAAAAAAGGGACTTTTAAATAAACATTTTAAAAGCTTAAAATATAGAATGTTAATATTAATTTGTAATTTCTTGCTGAGAGCATTGTGGAAATTTAGAAAAAGTATTGAAGAAAGGCCTAAAATAGTAAATCCAAATAGCAAAATTCTCATCAATTGTTTTTATTCTTCATTTTTTTTCTCATGAAAGCGTTGGATTTTCTATGATTTTTTTGAGTGTAAATTTATTTATATTTACCAAATATATTTAAACATAGTCAACAGCTCTGACAACAATTTAATACTGGCATATTTATATTTCAAAAAGTCTACAAATGCCTGATTATAATCATATAGCCAGATGTGGACTCTGAGCTGAGGATCTGCATCCAGCACCTACCTCAGACGTGGCTATAAACTGTTCAATGCAATGCGGAAAGAACGAAAGGATGATCATCTTACTGATGATGAGACCAAGTCGCAGAGATACAACTCAAACTTAAGTAAATATAAGCTTTAATGGTTTGAAAATTGATCAGAAAAAAACATTCCGGGAAGTGAAAATTATGATCATATGCAGACAGTATTTAAAGTTCAGAAAGATGAACTTATAAAGAAGGATTCTCAAGCCAATATGAACATATGATATCTGCCTATAGCCAAGGAAACACTAAGGGTTTTATTATACAAGATGTATTACGTATACAAGTTGATTATCTGACCAATCCGAAATCTCCAAAATATTATTAATAATTTAGAATACCGACATAACCCATTAATATTCAGCTTACTTTATAAACAAATTTATTTTTTGCAAAGAAAAGTTGCCTACTAATTTTGTCAAATTTATATTATTTGAACATTTATAATAGTTTTAATATTTGTATTATTTTCTGCCCAGAAGAAACCCTTTTAGAATTATAGAACTCACTTTGCTGCACAGATGTTTAATGGCATATAGAAATAAGATAAATTATTTAATGAAGAAATATAGAAAATATAGATATCTAAATTTGAAAGATCGTTTTAAAAATAGTCAAAATATAACAATGTCAATTCCCTCTTAGATAAACAAACCAACAGTTAATAATTTTCTGATTTTTTTCAGAATTTGAAACAAAGTTTCTCAATCAAATTAAATAAATAAAAAACAATATTTTGGGTGTAGTTCTTAAGAATTTGTTCGTAAATCTAAATATGAAAAAAGCTTGCCAGTTTTCAGTACGATTTTGGGAGATTCTAGATCAAAAATATATATTAAAAAAAGTGAAAAACATTTTGAATCAAGTTAAATGAATAATGAATAATTTGTCAAGATTGAATATTTACATATATTAATAAAAAAGAAATAAAAATATATATATTTTTTTTAAGGATTTTAGTGCTCCTTGGCGCTGTGGGAGATGGCGCCGTTGGCCAAGAGGGCCAGAGCATGTGGAAAGGCCCAATGCTCAGCGACATGGATGCGCTGTGTGAGGCTGTCGACATCGTCGCCCTGGATGATGGGCACTGGCGCCTGGACAAGAATGGCGCCAGTGTCGACGCCCTCATCGACAAAGTGAACCGTGCAGCCGGATTCCTTTTCGCCAGCATCCAGTGCCTGTTGCTGCACATGCAGGCCCGGATATTTGGGCAGCAGCGAGGGATGTATGTTGATGAGACGTCCACGCCACTGGCGCACAAATGGTGCGCTCAGCACACGCATAAATCCGGCCAAGCAGACGAGATCTACGCGAGCGGCGACCAAATGACGCGTCAGTTCCGTATCGTAATCCTCGCGGCTGGCAAAGTCCCGATGTGAGATGATCAGCGCTGGAATGCCGGCTTTGGCGGCCCGTTCCAAACCGAACACCGCCGCCTTGTTGCTAATGACCAGCGTGATCTCGGCGTGCAAAGCCTGTGCCGAGTCACGCGTCGCATCGATGAGCGCTTGTAGATTGCTGCCGTTGCCGGAGATGAGGACGGCGACACGGCGACGTGGTCGACCGAGCAGCTGTTGACTGCGCTTGACAGCTGCCTCGAAATTGTGGACAACCACCTGGGACTTCTTGGGATCCTTGCGCGCAATCACCTCACCGACAACAGCAGCTCGCTGCGAATAGCGCAGCTTTTGCATCACGCTCTCCACACGATCGGGAGCCACCACCAGGATGAGACCCAAGCCGCAGTTGTAGGTGCGTTGCAGCTCCGACGGCGCAATGTTGCCCGCAGCTGCCAGCCAGCCAAACACCGGCGGCAATTGGAATTTATTTGCATCCAGACGCACGGCCAGCTCCTTGCGCAGCACACGGGGTAGATTCTCGCTGAGACCGCCGCCGGTGATGTGCGCGAGTGCCTTGATGCCATGCGCCGACTGTGTGGCCAGCAGCGGTGCCAGCGCCTCCACATAGATCTTCGTCGGCACCAGCAGCTCCTCGCCCAGCGTTCGCTCGCTAAATGGCGCCCGATCGTTCAAGCCGAGTCCGGCACGCTTGAGCACCGCATGCACCAAGCTGAACCCGTTGCTGTGCACACCCGACGATGGCAATCCGATGAGCACATCACCCGGCTGTATCTCGTCCAGGCGTGGCAAGATTCCCGCCCGCTCGGCCACGCCCAGCGCAAAGCCAGCCAAGTCGTACACCTGCGGCTCGTACAGCAGCGGCAGGGCGGCAATGTGGGCATCTGGAAGAGATTATTCAATTATTTACTGACAGTCTAAGATGGGGCATTAATTCAAATTAGAATAGTTTAATAAAATAATTAGAATAAATATTAAATATATTAAAAACTTTGACAACTCTTGGATAGAAGAAAGAAACTTCAATTCTGTCTGAGTAAATATTAAATATATTTCAAATTATAAAATTGAAGACTTTAACTTTAACTACTCTTATTTTAAAGAAGAAGGAAACTTAAACTATGTCTGAATAAATATTAAATATATTAAAAACTTTGACAACTCTTGGATAGAAGAAAGAAACTTAAATTTTGTCTGAGTAAATATTAAATATATTTTCAATTATAAAATTGAATTACTTTAACTACTCTTATTTTAAAGAAGAAGGAAACTTCTGTTTGAATAAATGTGGAATATATTAAAAATAATAAAACTTTGAGCAGGAAAAACTAGAAGCAAAGAGGAATAAGAAAGTAATTCAAATTAAAGACTAATTTTGACTAGTCTTGATTGGAAGATGGAAGCTTAAACTCTGAATAAATTCGAAATATATTAAAAGTTATAAATTTTAAATGAGGAAATACTGAGGAAGTACTAAAATACCTCCGAAATAGGAAGGTAAATTAAAATTATATTAAAAAATTTGTCTGAATAAATTTTAAACATACAAAAAATGATACATTTCAGAACAGAAAATCGTAGCAACAAAGAAGAATAGCTTGAAAAACTTCTTAAAACCGTAGCCAATATAAAATTCTACATAAATTATTTATTTTTGATAGTTGTAGTTGTTCTTAAACACAATTAAAAATGGACTTCGAGAGAATGTTATTGTTGGTCTAAATTAATATTCATCAAGCTTAGATATGATTGCGATAGAAGTCTTGTGGGAAACCATGAAAAGAAAGCTGCAAAATGACTCACAGACTCTGGTCTGTATTATCATTAAAAATTTAGCAAATTGGGATTTGCCTAACTCCAGTAAAGGGTCATAAATTTGTTAAAACTATGGGAAAATTAAATAACTTTTTTAAATAACTAAATACTAAACACTTAATAATAATTAAGACATTTTCTTGCTGTACGAATGAGAAATGTTTCAAAATAAATCGTGTGCAAAGAAAATGCTTTGATTTATATTAATATTTTAACTTTTTGCTCTTAAATGAAACCTTTGAAACATTTTGTTGGATATCAAAGATAATAAATTGAGCTTTTAAAAAAGTGTAAACTATTATGTGTAACCATGTCCTAGACATAAATAAAAACTATAGAAAGTACTACTATCAGAGATGGTAAATGGTAAATGTACGAAGGGGTTTGGGAATGTGTTCAATCGTCCTGGTAAGATAACCAAGAAGGATTCTTATCGAGAAGATATGTAAAGACAGGACACACCAAAATAAATAAATAAATGATAGGATAATGAGTCCTAAGTAGATAATGTCCTATGTAGGATATGAATAGTTGTATATAGCTGTAAGATAATTTAGAAGTTTTCAATAAATTCATTCTATGCTCGATACTTGAACAACATCGTTGTGTTCTCAATTTGCTCTTGGGATCACCTTTCAGTTGTACTTTAAATATTATGAGTTGTAGAGCAGGAAATCACTTCAAAATAGTCGGATATATTTCTCTAACCAATCTGGGGAGCAGGTTGCTAGTCAACTACTTTAGATATGGCTTGGTAATTGTAAGTTAAAAAACTTTTTCCAACAAGCTAATTCTACAAGTTGAATTACAAACCACAAAATCTGTGGCTTCCACCAGCAGGCAGGTTGCCACTTTTTACATACCAATAAAGCTGCTGTTTGCCTGCCGGGTGCCATCGAGCACACCGGCTGCAACTTGTGCGGCCAGCTGCTGTTGCCACTTGCCGCAGGCATAGTAGCTGGAGAAACTGAAGGGTTCGGCGCCATTGCAGAGTATATCGTTGACGCACATGGCGACCAGATCGATGCCGACGCTGCCATTGTGTCCGGATTGCTGGGCGATCTTCAGCTTGGTGCCGACGCCATCGGTGCCCAGGATGAGTATCGGATCTGTGTAGTGGGCGGGCAGGCGTGTCAGCCGGCGACCGGCGGCATTCTCAAAGCACTCTTCGCGTGCAACTGAACCAGGCAGCTGTTGTTGGGGCTTCACCAGCTCCTGGGGCAGCTGGTGGCTGCCTAGGCCGCCAAAGGGCGCTGCCAACTTTTGCAGTTGCTGCTCAAAGTTGCGCACTTGGAGGCGTGGCACATTGGTTGCCGCCGTCGCATCTGTCTGCTGCAGCACACCGAGCACCTTGGCGCCGGGCAACGCAGTGCGCCACAGCTGACTGGCTTGGGGCAGCACGATCAGCATGCCAATGCCACAATTGTGCCGCTCGAGCAACGCCTGTGCACTCAATTTCAGCTGAGCCGCCAACCAGCCAAAGATGGGGGGCACGGGCACTGCACCAAAATCGAGCACAACATCGAAGCCAACGGGCAGCAGTCGATCCACATCGTGCAATAGTCCGTGGCTGACATGTGCCACACCCTTCACCTCACCGGCCTGCAGATGGGGCAGCAACTGTTGCACATAGAGACGCGTTGGGGTGCCCAGCACCTGAGCCAGACTCAATCCATGATCGCCGCCCACCGGCGATTCAGCCTTCAGATTCACACCAGCCGCAGCCAGCTGAGTGAGCAGCTCATTGAAGCCGGCACAGTGCAGCCCCGACGAGGGCAATCCAACGACCAGGTCACCAGCCTGATAGCTATCAAAGCGAGGCAGCACTTGCGACTCTTCCACAAGACCCACACAGTATCCAGCCATGTCGTACTGTCCAATTGTATACAGCGATGGCATCTCTGCGGTTTCACCACCTGCAAGCAGAGAGCTGCTATTAGTAAATCAAAGCAAGAATTGTTCCCTTTTATGAAAATCTGGCTAAGTTGAAGTATATCTAAGGAATGGTATTCAATTAAGCACAATTTTTAGTTATCAAACTATAAAGATGATGATCAATCTAGGAAAAACTTTGCACAATTTGAAGAACTTTTCAATAACACTTTTTGTCTTCACTTTATTTAAATAACTAATCGATTCGATTGTATTTAATTATGCGTTCATAATTAATATGTAATTTGTAAAATGTCCTTTAATAAATAACCTTTCAGAGAATTTAGTACATACAATTCTTATCTGGACGATCAGTTGTACACAGGAGCTTAAATCCAAACAGATCCATTTAAAACCAAAATATTTTATTAAATTTTCTAAGCATTTAATAAAGGCTTTCCCGTCTTAAAAGCTATTATAATAAAACTTGTTTTGTATTCGTATTTTAGGGATAAGCAATGACTATACTATATATAGACTATATCATTTAGTTCCCATTATGTTCTGTTATTATGCGTTTCACATTTGGTTAGCAAATCGTCAAATGTATCCAGGTCAAAATTAAATAATTTTCTAAAATGTTCCTTATAAATTCAGCTATTGAACTTTAATTTGAAATGTTGGACCTGATGCTAAAACAATCTTTGCTTATCATTAGTCTAATATATCCCTTATAAAGTGTTTTCTTGCTTTCCAGTTAGCAATTGAAAACAATTCTCAAAATGAAGAAATAAATTGCAGAAATTGATTGTTTCTATTGAAGCTAAACGCTGGAAGAATAATAATATAATTAAGTCTGATTCGAATATCTTTGAAAACTAAAAAGTTGTCCATGTAAGAAGTAATCTAATAATTATAGCAGATACATGATATAACACTCCTAAACCTTTAAAAAAAATTATAATACCCAAGATGAGCGGACTTTGTAACAATGGAAAATCAGTGAATTCTTGAACACATAATAATAATTAATATAAATATTATATGCATGTCTTGAGATTGGGCGAACCAAGTCTTTAAGCTGCAGTTGAGCTTGAGTTCACCCATTAAAGGTTCTTGGATCAGATTGAAAGTAGAAGTCTCACCGACAAGAGCGCAACGCGCATCCCGACAGCCATCGGCCATGCCCTTGACCAGCTGTGCGGCTAGTGGCACCTGCAGCTTGCCGCACGCAATGTAATCCAGAAATGCCACTGGCTCGGCGCCCAGTTCCAGCAGCTCATTGGCGCACATGGCAAAGAGATCGTAGCCAATGTGATCGTAGAGTTCATGTTGCAGCGCCAACTGGATTTTGGCACCCACACCTTGTGTGGCCTCCGCGATTATTGGCTGCTTGTAGCTCAGCTCGTTGATGCGAAACAGGCCACCGAAGCCGCCAAGACTGCCGAGGACACCAGGACGCTGAGTGCCACGAGAGAGTGGCTTGATGCGCTGCACCAAAGCATCGCCAGCATCGATATCCACGCCGCTGTCCTTGTAACTGAGCGATGGAACCGGCGCCCTGGGAAAGTAGTAAAAAAGAAGAAGAAAAAGAGGGTAGAAGAATGATAGGTGTAAGGGATTAGAAAGTGGTATAAATAGGAGGATACACTATCTCTAAGTCTGCGGCTGTTTCGAGCAGTTCTTGGCTGCTTTTGCTCTTTAGCATAATTTAGTTCAAAGTTGGCTTTATATCAAATAAAATAAATAAACTTGAGACACGATTTGGAAATTTAATATGTAATATAAACACGCTATACATGTCAATAATATATACTATAGAATTATAGCCATTTAACCTCATTCTTGCATTTGCATTACTTTATTTCAAATTACATTTTAAACGCCTTCTGCGCAATGTCCGTGCGATATTGAGCGCCTGCCCCAGCAAAAGTGATGCTGCCCGCCAACTTGGTAGCCTCAGCTGCGGCCTGCCTCAGGCTGGCATCGAGTGCAACGGCGATAAGTACTCGTCCTCCATTGGTCTGTGGCTCCTTCTGGGCATTCACTGCCAAGCCACTGTGGAAGATCAGTTGCGTCTCCGTGTTGGCAGCGGGCAGACCTGAAATGAATAGCAGTGATATATTCAAAAGTACAACCAGAAAATAAATAGCCACGAAATCTACAAAATGATGGCTTTAAGAAATCATTTCTATATATTCGAAACAATTTGTAATTGTTTTTTATTTTTTAAAAATGTTTTCGACAATCAAGAAATAAAATTCTAAGAAGTAAAACTGAAGTCACGCAAGGAAGCGAATTTAATTATACGAATTTATAAACTATCTAAAATATGAAACATTCAAATACAACATTTTAATAATGATATACGTATCAAAATATAGAATGTAAGAATTATGTGCACTCATATAAAAGATATCTTGGAAATGTATATATATATTTTTAATTTAAGAAAAAACAACCCTGTATTTAAAAGAAAAAGAAAACCCTGTATTTAGAAAAACACAATCTTTAGTTGAAGATATATATTTTCTGAATAATAAGTCGAGCTGCCCTTGGCTCGAAAAGTATGGTGATTTTCTAAATTTGAGCTTTGTCCTTGTCTTCTGAATGTAGCTTTAAGTACAATTGGTCCTCCAATAAAAATATTTCTAATATAAATTTATTTATTGCATTTAATTCACCTGTTATGAGGCATCCCTTGGTTGACGTTTCCGGATAGCCAGCGCTGGCCAATACGACACCAACCGCACTCAGATTAGTGCGCCACTGCAGGGAGACTTTGTCCAGCTGGCCGGTGCAGCAGGCGAGCATCACCTCGAACAGATCGGACTCGAGGAGCGGCAGTATCACTTGTGTTTCGGGGTCGCCAAAGCGACAGTTGAACTCGAGAACACGTGGACCATCGCGGGTGAGCATGAGACCCGCATAGAGTACGCCCTGGTAGGCGATGCGCTCCTGGATCAAGCCCTTGACAGCACGCTCCAGGACGGCGCGCTGCACCAGCTCGAGCGCCTGTTTGCTGATCAGCGGGCAGGGACAGTAGGCGCCCATGCCGCCCGTGTTGGGTCCGCTATCGCCATTGGCCAGACGCTTGTGATCCTGAGCTGGTAGCATGGCTTCAATTGTGGTGCCATCGGTGAAGGCCAGCACGGATACTTCCTCGCCCTCGAGCAGCTCCTCCACGACCAGAGTGGCACCGGCCTGGCCGTACTTCAGCTGGCCCAGAATCTCATCGACGGCCTGACAGGCCTCATCCACATTGGCGGCCACCACAACGCCCTTGCCAGCTGCCAGGCCAGCTGCTTTCACCACCAAAGCGGGGTAGGGTGCGCTGTAAGATCGATATTAGGAATTATCAGCAAATTAGGATTCAAGAAAGAAAAATTGAGTCTGATCGAAATTGAAAGATATTTTCTAGTTATTTATACAATTTACAATTATTTTCATTTGCTTTTAAATAGCTTCGATTTTACTAAAATATTATAATTAATTGCAATCATTTACAGTATAAATATAAATTGCTTGGGGAGAATTATAGACAACATTTTCGAAAAACCTTACTAAATAGATATATATATAGAATGCATTCAGTTAATAATGAATTATTCACTCGATTGCCTATGCTGATTATGAAAATAAACTTTATGGAAAATAAAATCGCTTGCAGATAATAATTATATAATAATCTTTTACATATTTCTAAAAATGAATACACAGTAATTGTAAATAAATTGAATTCTTCCAAAATATTAAAAGCGTACAAAGATTTGTGACAGGAGAAGACAAATGACAAAAAGGTTTAAATGCAATTGCAAAGTTGTCGACTGATTGTGTTATAGGATATAGTGGTCCGATCCGGTATAGGCCCTTCTATTCGGTTTACCTGCGTATAAACTTTTTGGCCTTGGCCACATCCGTGAAGCTCTCGTAGCGGGCTGTGGGTATACCATGACGCAGCATAAAATCCTTGGCCCACTTCTTGTCCGCCTCAATTTGAGCGCCCTGCTTGCCGGGCCCAAAGCAAGCAATGCCCGCCTTCTGCAGCACATCGCCCAGACCCAACGCCAGCGGATCTTCAGGTCCGACCACCACCAGCGAGATCTTGTTCAGCTTGCACCACTTGGCAATGGCCTGGAAAGACACATCAAATGCATTCATTTTAAACGTAAGCACGCAGAAGGGCTCAACTCGAAGACACTCTATAAATAGTTATCTCGACGGGTAAGAAAATCTTGAAATGGAATGGAGAGGAAGCTGGAAGAACTATCTAATTTCCGACAATCCAGATAAAAGATTGCAAATTACACAAGCCGACGAAATATTCTCAAAAATGTTGCTTATAAGGAAAGTTGAAACGCTCGAAGAACAAATTAAACCGTATTTGCATAATTTAATTGCAAAATCTAAAATAAATATTTTAGAGTATTTTTAGAATATATCTATGCTGACTCACGGTGATTATCAATTTACATACATAACATATTAAATGATATCCGAAAATAATAATTTGAAATTCTACAATTTATGTTCCTGTTCAGACTGAGCTCTTTCTCCGCTCCAAGAGTAAATATATCTTGTGAGGTTTGCCCATTTGATGATACCCTTTTGGAGCTGTTTTCAACATGTGTAGGGTATAAAAATGTCAAATGTTAAGATCTTAATTCGGGACAAGCCCAGAATAGACGCAGCCGGTTCCAACGACAACATTCCATCCTAATTGTTTTGGCATTAAGTTGCATGCATTATATCTTTGAATATTGTTATTACTCAAAAAAAATAATAATAAAAAAAAGCACACATAGCAAAAGACAATAAACAAAAAACGTTGAAGAAGATTAACTGACTCAGTTAAGAGCTATGCCTGATGAACAACAAACAAACTAGAGAATTTTGGCCCTGCTCATCCGGTTTTAGAGCGTGACTGATGCGAGGCGTCTTAGTCGGCGTTCTAATCGATTTGGCGCCAATCTCAAAGTGGATTTACCCGCAGTCCCGAAACCGAGTGCAACTGCGTTCCAGACTATTTAACATGCTAAGAGAAAGAGTTGGATTGTCCCCTCCTCCATCATCATCAACATCAGCATCATCATCATCACCATAAAGGTTCAAGAACGTTCACAACTCACAGCGAAAAATGTGACGTGTTCGCATTGCTATTTAGTCGAACCATTTTTGGCAATACGGCCAAGGTTGCCATTTCCCAAACTGTGTGTGAAGAATTACTTTTGGGCGTCTCGGAATTTTTAACCACTTTCCAAATTTGGTTAAGAACTGTTTAATGTTCAATCCGCACATGATTTAGTATATTGCATTCTATATGCAAATTTGATCAGGGAAGCACCAAAAGCTTTGCGAACATGTTAGTTGGATTATAACAACTAACATATATGTCAATATATATCAAGTTTAGTTTCGCTTCGTTGAAGAATGAGAATGGAAACGGCTGTTTGCCTTGCGCGACCAGCACTTTGAGCTATTATAAAAAAAGCATTTTATAGGACAATAAAAGCCAGAAGACTTTCAATTTGACACCTATTTCTGCTACTGGATCTCAAGAGAGAGATCTCAAGTAATTCCCATTGTTATTATAACAAAGCAAATTCGTATACATATAATAATATAATTATAAGTACATTGTTTAAATATATCATTTATAGTTAAGTTCTAACTATAGTAAACAATTTAATTTCTGATTCAATTCTGCTTTTGAACTTTCCGTTTTGCTTAGGAGCAAATCATTCTTGATGACTTGAAAAAAATAATTGATGAGAAAAATGTCAACTGAATCATTTTAAAATTAATAAGTTATTTTAAAAATAAGAGAGAACGGATAATGTTTCAATATTTAATTATATTTTTGTTGTGCTTAATGTATAGAGTGTCTTCAAGTGAGGCTATCTCCTAGAGCTAATATCCAAAAGCCGATTAAAAATTACAAAACAGAAGTCGCCCACTTAAGGTAAATAAAAACATTTCGAAAGTATTTTGAAATAACTTATTTAGAACAGTTAATAACATCATACGAAAATAAAGCGATTAAATGATTCGGGAGTTTTTAATAGAACAGGTTCAGATTCGGAATCGAATTCAGTCTAGAAATGTGCTCCGAACATAAAAACAAAACCAAAAAATAAAAAACAAAACCTTTAGCAAAGTACATTTAATATTGGTTCAACGATCTCTTGAATATTTTCGGTTTCCTTGCAAAAAAAAAAAGTGGAATATGGAATGCAAGACGATAAGTGTGCTCAAGATCAGCGACTATACAGGTAATAAGCATACATATCAAATTTAAGTGTCACGCAACCTTCGAGTAGGGCAAGCGATGCCAATAAATGAATCTCAAGCGGCCAACATCTTTAAGAATTGCTGCAGCGGCAAACAGTTTGTCGATGTGATATTAAAAAATCATTATTAAAATAATAAAAATTAAAAGTAATTAATAAGACGAATAAAATCATTTAATTTATGACTGAGATGACGAGCGGCTGGAGACGCCTTCGCCTTCGCCCTCGTCTCTGCTCTCGAAACTGGGTTTCCAAAAAATCCGCACAGACAACAAAAATGTCAAAAAATTAAAAAAAAAAAATAATAAATAAAATCATGGTGAGCGGATTGGATATAAAAACGAAAGCATGCCAAAAGCAGGCAAACAGTCGTTGATTTAAAGCGCTAGAACAAACAACCGCGACGAGATAAGCAAAAAAATAACTATATTTATATACAATAAATAAATAAAAAATGCTGCTCAATCTGCTCGTAAGTCGCTGTCAACTTTAAGCCACTTACACAAGGATTTAAATAAGTTTACATATTTTTTTTTTTGTAGATACAATTCTTAGGCGCTGTCACCGTGATCCAGGCTGGTCTTTATGTACCCGATTCGGATCGAAATACGCAAATACTGAAAAAGGAGGTGGATGTGGCTCCAAATGGAAACTTTAACTATGAATATGAGACGTCCAATGGCATTGCTGAGCAACGGTCGGGAATGGAAGGCGCCACGGTTCAGGGTGGTTCCAGTTACACCTCACCCGAAGGCATTCCCATCAGCATCAGCTATGTGGCCGATGAGTTTGGCTACTATCCCGTTGGCGATCACATACCCAAGGTGCCCGATTACATATTGAAATCATTGGAGTACATACGGAATCATCCCTATCAGATAAAGGATTACTACACGGGCGAACTTAGAACCGTCGATCATAATGCAAAGGCCTTTGAGGTCTACTCTCGACCCAGCACCACATCCGAAGTGGTGCACCGCAGCTGAGTGCGTTTGTGGAGTGGAGTTTAGTGGGGCAAGGGGGTTAAAGTTAAGGCAACAGCAACTGTGAATTTTGATCTGAACAATTAATTAAGCCACAATAAATAGAAGTGTTAAATATATACAACTGGCATTGTTTATACTCGTCTGGCGCCAGTCGGGCAGACGCTAAAACGTTGCGAGCAACCTGCTAATGGGCAAAGGCATTTATAGCGGAATTCAAAATTGAAGCGTATAAAATCAAACATTTATTCACTCAAATGCCTAAGCGCATATCAGCTGAATCATTGAGAGTTGAGTTGAGATTGTGCGATCGGTGAAACTATAACATATATACATACATAATAATATCGATCGTTTCATCTATAAATTTTTAAGAAGTGAAAATTTAGCACTTTAGAGAGCTGGACTTGCTCGACTGAAGTGAACTGAATCAAAGCCATTGATTTTTGTTATCGATAAAGTTTAATGAATGTTGTTGATATAATTAAATAAATTTGATGACTTCTTTATCGCTCTTATAGAATTTGATATTAGTGAGTTGCTACAACATACAAGCGGACATAACTAAATCAACTCGGCTGTTGATAATCTATATAAATATATATATTTCCTTTATATTATATATGTGGGATCGGTGATGCCTGTTAAGTACTTTTTCAATGATGAAATAAACAGATTTATTTAATTTATTTCAGAGGCGAATAGTTTTTACCTACATGCGGAAGAAAAAATAGCATCCAGATAACAATCTTTCTTTGTTAGACGATTTTTTCTTTTTCAAATAAACCAATTTGGCAATGCTTAAAACAAAAGACTTTTGTACGGAATTAAGGTGTTCAAAAAACAACACTATAATTAAAAAAAATTAATGACTGAAAAGTTATTTTGAAATGTATTTTTATAAAAAAAAAACCGTCAATAATGAGCTTCTTGCCGTTTTTTAACACACAAAACATTAAAGCAAGTCTCAGCCACATGAATAGAAAACATTTTTCGAGCTCATAATTAATAATGGTGCTATTTTTTCTGGTATCGTCACGGCTAATCAGCAGAGTTGTGTTTGATTTTAAATTGGATATTTAAATTTTTCTCATCTACCTCAAACTCTACTTTAACAATTTTTTTTGTTACTGGAATACTTTTAATATTTTGCACAAGCACTAAACTAAACTACTAAATATTGTACACTTAATATTACAATAATTAATTATTATAATCTTATTTTATACTATAGTTTTATAATAATTATTTAATTCTTAATCTTTACAAAATTAGTTAATCACACTAGTTAATTACTGTAATAAACTATTTTAATTAATTTAGTTTTATAATAATTAATTATTGTAATTAACTTTAGTTAAATGAGTTAATTATTGTAATTAAGTATTTTATATACTATCGTATTATACTTGGTTATTATAATTAAGTACATTTTGTATGGATTATATATTTTAGAATTTAATTTACAATAAACTATATTTTACATTAGTTTTATAATAATTAACTACTGTAATTGCCTATATTTTATACTATAGTTTTGTAATAATTCATTACTGTATAATTATTAATTTTATATAGATTATATAGGCATCAAGAAATTATATTTTTATATAAAATAAACTATTTTATTATTCACACAAACTTCAGATTATCTTCAGGGCCAAACGATTGTTGTAAGTTTTGATACCGCGTGCCGCACAAGGGTTAAATTATTTCGAGAGGGAGAGAGAGACACACACAAAAGCAGCATGCCTAAATGCACACGCACACATACACACACATACCTGCAGCCAGAGTTTTCAAAATTATTTTGATTGGATTCACTTATAGGCCTTAGTTAGCATTAAACCATTTTGAGTATCATAAAAGCAGTCTCAAATATAGCAATAAAATATTGAAAAGATCACAGCTGCAACTGTTTGCTGTGTAACTTTAAGCCCGGCACGAAGGTTAAGTGAAGGACGCGCAAAAAGAAAAGCATAAAAGTCAAACTCACCTCGAAATCCTTAGCATTCAATGCATCAGCGTCCAGATTCTGGCACTTTGAGCCAAGCTGAGCAATGCCAAAGCTGCCGGGCAGCGCATAGATTTGCGACACGACCGCCGATTCTGTGAGCTTCCAACAGATGGCGTGCTCGCGACCACCGCTGCCGATTACCAAAACGCGATGCGTCATTTTTGTGCGTCCAAACAAATCAACAAGTGTGCACGCTTTATTCACAAAATATTAATGTGTTTTTATCTGCTTTTCGTGCCCACGTGTTCACGTGTTCTCGTTTTAAGCGATCGTTTGACGTGAGAGTCACGCACACGTAACACACATACAGCGAGCCACAGAGAGAGAGAGAGAGAGACAGCGAGAGAGCTTGTGTGTGTGCAGAGAGAGCGTAGTCAATTGACAATTGCCTCTTAAGCTGCGTTTGTAGTATGCTTTTTATGCTGCTTTTGTTGTGGTATTCGATTAATAAACCACACCGCACGACGACGCGTTTTCAACTGAAACTGGATCGAATTCTACATTTTATGTGTAGTCAAAAAACTGCAAAACCACGCCGGCCCTGCGACGACGTCAGTTGATTACGATGTCTTTTTAGTTTTGTTATTATTTTTGCCGTTGCTGATAAGCAACTGGCTAGAGAAAAGTCGTTGCCATCGTCGTTGTCTACGCGCTCCAAATGCACTCGGTTTGTTGTTGTTTGTTGTTGTTTGTTGTTTTGCGATGCGATTGTGGAAAAGTGGCGCAAAATATCAACAAAAACACCTCGATAACCTTTCGGGAGCCTTAACCGAACAGACGTGGGGGTAACTGCAACAGTAGCTATCAGTGCAGTTTTTTCCTCATTTATTTCATTTCTGACTTTTGTCTTACGGTTTTATATTATATATAAAGCTTGAAGATATCTTAATTAAAATACAGAATTTAATTGAAATATGTGTGAAACTTTTTTTTGAGAAACTGGAAATGTTAATTTTAATTGCTATATTTATTTATTTTACTGGATACGAAAAAAATGAAAAGCAATTAATTTAAATAGCTTTGGCTCACACAATATATTTGTAACGCACAATTAATGTTTTTTTTTTTTTAAATTGGATTCAAATTCATTCAGCATTCTTTATAAGGTTATTTTGTTGGAATTTTAATTATCGGTTTATCCCAATATAATTTTTAGTATTGCTTATCGTCAATTTGAATAAACATGATGATTTTTATAAGCTATTTAAAAAAGAAACAGAGCTGCGTTCTGTAAATATTAAAAATAACCTATATATATTAATAATTTGCCAGTTTAAACTTCAAAATAAAATTATAACAAGTTTTGCTATTCTTATACCAAAGATGAAATGGTTAAAATATCGCCCAGAATTTTGGCGTTACAGTCGCCAAGCGAGGATGGATGGATAAATGGAGATCATATTGATGGAGACATTCTTCAAAGATTGGCATGTTTTTGGAGCTGAAGTTACTATTAAACTCCTCGAAATATTGATATGAAATTTCCTGAGCCCACCCACTTTTGTGGAATATATATTTATTTATGTTAAAGCAAGAGTTCCCAAATTGAAAAGATATTTTACTTGCAACCTTTTTCAATATTTTTCAACTGTATTCAGCGTGATTTATACAGTATTATTACGTATGATTAAGCACTCTAAATCAAAATACATCTATACTTACCTGTGCATAATCTGGTTATCACAATGTATAGCTTATAAATATTGCTTATCAAGCCTTGTAAACTGTTCAAAAAATCTTCCAAGTAAAATTTTACTCTGTTTTGTAAAATATGTATTTTTTCTTCTGTTTTTCGTTTGTTTGTTGTAATTATTAGTAGGCATTAAAAAATTGTGTTGTATTTTGTTGTTGCTGTTGTTGTAAATTTACAAGATAACTACCAAACTCCGTCATAAATTTGTTTTACATAATGTGGTTTGTTGCACCGTTCAGATGTGCCACATATATAAAAAATGAATAAATATATATATAAAGCAATGAGAACCAACTGCATCGTTGCTCAGTGCAATCTCAGAATGACAATTTTTTGAATGCATGCGTTTAATTGTGGCATGGTATACATTGAAATTATAGAATTTTGTATGCGTTGCGGCGACTGTTACCGACGCATCTGAAATCCAACGGTGCCATTGGGACAGGGACCCCGTGGAAGTCGTAGCACATTATCATTGTACGGATGCCCCGCATATGGTGGCAGCGGCGGCACTCGCTGATGTTGCTGTTGCAACGACGGTGCATGCAACGATTGCTGACGCAACAGCGCCGCCGATACGCTACCGCCCACAACGGGCGACCAGCTCTGCTGAGGATTGGTCGTTTGCGGCGGCCCCGGTGGCGCCCCTGTTATATATGGAGACATGCGTTGATTGTAGTGCGGCGGCGGTGGCTGCGTTTGCTGCTGCTGCTGCTGCTGTTGCTGTTGCACTTGCTGCTGATGCATGGAAGGCGTCTGTTGCGAATAAAAGTAGCCCATAGCAGCTGGATTTGGCAGCGCCTGATAGTAGTTGTTATAGTTGTTGTAGATCGGCGCTGTTTGCGACATCTTTGGCGCCGAATTGGAGCGATGCATGCCAGGTGCTGTGGCGACACTGCCGCTGTTATTATTGTTAAAGTTGACAGCGGGCGGCGGTGGATGCGGACTAGGTTCCGCTTGAACTGAGTTGGGCACAACCACGGGCGAACCACTTGGTGGCGTAACACTATGGAAAAATTGTACACAAAACAGAGTTGTTAATAGCAAAGTGAAAAATCAAAATCGATTGCAGTGCAAGAAATCTATTATCTCCTGCCCAATGGACAGAGCTCCAGGATAAGGTATGGGTTCGACACAGGACGAATGCAAAACAAAAATCAAATCGAGCATATTATTTACGGAATTTGGGATATCATTGATTTGGGCCAATGACATCCTAAATATACCAAGGAACTCATCTTGAGTCTAGAAGTGCTATTCTTCTATGCAAGATGTATGATTTCAATTTACTACATATGACAGTTATCACCCTGGAGATCCCTATTAAATTGATTTCTAAATTTCGTAAAAGCTACAAAATTTATCATGCAGAAATGGAATGAATGAATTGGAGAAGAATGATCAAAGTTAAGAATGCATATAGTTATAGTACTATATATAATACTAACGGCTTATCATCCTCAGGATTTTTGGCGCTGCCCAGTATGCGTAGGCGCGCCTGGGCGTATTCCTGTTCGCGCTGCTGCAGCGTCTTGATTGCTGTTTGGGTCGCATGCCGTTTGAATCGCGACGCTCCTCGGCCTGGGCTGGTCGACGCAAAATCTTCACCGTTTGATTGCTGATGGGCGTTGCATAGTTGACGCTATCGTAGTCACTGTTCGGCTTGTGCAGCACCATCATAACGGGGGCAGTGTTCAGATCGGCATCCAATGTTGGCGCCGATTGCTGCGGCTTTTTGGCAATCATTATTTGCTTCGGCATTACAGCAACCAGAGTTCCTGTGCTACTGCTGCTGTCGTTGCTCTCCTGCAGGTTCTGTGGACGCTGTAGCAATTTCATTTTGTTCACTGCCGCTGACTCAGCTGCTGTGGTGGGGTTCAAGTTGCTGCTGCTGTTGTCGTCGTTGGCGGTCTGGAGTTTCGTTTGCAGTGTCATGCAAAGCTGTTTGAGATTTGACAGATCATTTTTTCGATGTTATTGTTGTTGTTGTTGCTGCTGTTTGATGTAATGTCATTTAAAATACTCACGCCTGCTTCGTCAATTTCCTCCCAGCTGTCTAGCACATCGTCACCATTGGACATTGCAACCGTGTTATATACAATATATATATATATAGTTATGTATATATATACTATTTTTTGTTGTTTTTTTTTTTTGCTAAGCACGTTGCGAGGGTGCGTTCCTTGTGTACAAAAATATAGGCTATTTTCCGTTCCGATTGTTGTTTTACGAAATTTATTGTTGTTGTTGTTGGTTTTGATGCAGCAGCTTCACTTTCTTCTTTGCGCCTGCTACTGCAGCTCGCACTACGACATATACATAATTCCAGCGCACTTGTATCAGACATAAGTTCTACATATGCTTTTGCACAACCGTTTCCACAAATTGATTGTTTTAAACAATGAAATATGCTATGCATATGCTTTGCACACGCATACGCAACAATTTTTGCTCGTTTTGGCAGCCCTGCGCTGCCAAACTCGATACATCGATTACAAATAAAACACGGTCTTGTATTTTTAGTGTCTTGACAGTAAAACAGCAAAATCTTTTATTTCTGTAATAAAATCATTTTTTTGTGTGTTTAATTTGTGTAAATTTTATCTTATATTTGAAATGAAAGTTTGAACAAGTTAAATGGAACTCGCAGAGAATGTCAATTTACTTATCGTCAGCCTAACAGCCATCGATAGTTATCGCATGAGAGGCAGAATTTCGATTAGTCATTTGAATTACATTACTTAGATTTTCTCTTTCGTCTAACAGTCTCTGAACCATACTTAAATAAGGAAATATGTATTTGAATGTTATTAAAGGATACATACATAGGGTTGGTCTTACAAGTTTATGTATGTATGCGCATAATTGCGCATGTATAATGGGAAAACTTACCCATGTCTACACGAAAATCATCTCTATCGCATCATTTTCGCCCACGAATGCTGCAATTGATTAATATCAATTCAAATTTATATCATATCAAATCAAAACTTAATTAATTTTGAATGTCAACAAAGAACAGCTGTTCGTAAATGAAGATACTTATGTAGTGATGTATATGAATCATAGTTGGGTAGAAATGGGTAGAAATCGAGCAGCGAGTAAAAGTAATCGTTTTATGTTTTCGCTTAGCATGAATCTGTCTGGTTCTGCTATAGCTCTGTCAACTGCTCTTAAGAGTCAGTGAAATAGAACCAGTTAGCAGCAGTTAAATTTAAATAAAAGTTGAATATGTAATTTTTCGCTTAAGAAAGTCATCAGCTTGAAAAGTTTATCTCACTTTCTTGCCAAACCAAGTTATTCTATTCAGTTTTATATTGAATTACAATAAAAATATGTAAGAACAGTTAAAGTTGCTGTTAATAGCATTACAGCAAAATGTTAAATATGTTGCTACTCATAAAACATGTGGCTTACATAGTTTGATAAGACTATTCGTACTATTTGTGCCTTTGAAATGGAAATTGAGTTTGGTTTAGATGAAATTCCAAATTCGATCAGCATAATTAACCAGAAGCATCGCGGTGCAGAGATAACATAACACAAGCAAAGTTATAGCACGTGCACGTATCAATTAGTTGTTAGTAAGATGACGATATTTCCTCACTGTTTACGTAAATAGATGCAGCTGTAAGATGGCAGCGGCAACAACTGCAGACCACAAAGCTAATCCGCTTAAATCGTTTATTGCTGGAGGCTTTGGCGGAATTTGCAGTGTACTTACAATGCATCCATTGGACACAATTAAGGTTGGTAATAAAGAAACTCTCACATATGGAAATTCATTTACAGCTTTTTATATTTACTCTTAGGTGCGGCTGCAGACGATGCCTTTGCCAGCAGCTGGGCAGCCACCCAGATACAAAGGGATCGTAGACTGTACGGTGAAGACTTTTCGAGCTGAGGGATTGCGTGGCTTCTATCGAGGCATTTCTGCTCCCTTGGTTGGTGTAGCGCCCATTTATGCTGTAGATTTTGCTGTTTATGCGGCAGGGAAGCGACTGTTCCAAACGGATGAGCAACTGAAGCTGAATTACACACAAATTTTTATGGCCGGTCTTGGCTCTGGCATTTGCTCAGCCCTGGTTGCGGTGCCAACAGATCGCATTAAGCTGCTGCTGCAAACGCAGCCTTTAACTGGACCACCCATGTACAGTGGCATGATGGATACAGCCATAAAGCTCTACAGACAGGGTGGCATGCGCAGTCTTTTTAAAGGCACTTGCGCATGCATGCTGAGAGGTGAGTGAAGCATATTAATTACATACATTTACGTACATATATATAAATTTTTTTTTTCCCAACCATTCACTTATAATGAACTAAAACACATTTTATGGCGTATATACATTTAATTATATAATTGTTTATCCCTCAAATCGCGCTATATATTTGAATTAAATATATTTCAATTTTGCATATCTGTTACAGAGTCACCCAGTGGTGTATATTTTGTTGTCTATGAGGCCTTACAGGATTTGGCGAGACGGCGCTCTCCAGCAGGGAATATAACAGCAACTTCTACGATATTTGCTGGTGGAATGGCTGGCATTGCATTCTGGTCCCTAGCTGCGCCTTTTGATCTGCTTAAGAGTCGACTACAATCCGGTTAGTAAACTAAACTATCCATTCTTTAAAACCGAACTCGATTAATCAGCTCTCTCCATTCCAAACAGCGCCCGAGGGCACCTATAATCAGGGGATTCGCAGTGTTTTTCGGGATTTGATGGCAAGGGAGGGTCCGAAGGCGTTGTTTCGTGGAGCTTCGCCTATATTAATACGTGCTTTTCCCCAGACAGCAGCGATTTTCATTGGCGTGGAGGTGGCCAATGATTTCCTGGATTACTAGACTTCTAGACTATTAGAAGGTTGTGTGCCAATTAGAAGCTATTTTTGAAATTGTTTTTAGGTAAAATTTTATGTAATTAAATGTGAATATTTTGATACAAGTACTTTTAAATTTTCAATGGCGAACATCTATGCAAATGTTGGGTTTTAATCGCTGGGCTAAGCGACAAGCTTTCGTATTCGGGTTGTGGTATTAAGTAAAAAGCTGTTGCAGAGTATGTAATGAGGTAACGAGCCCATCTTTGGTATATAGAATTGTGTCTTGAAGAAATACTCTTTCTCTGAACACCGCTATGTGCAAGGTGTAAATTCCTTTTCACGAATAGCGCCTGTTAAGTTTAGGAAGTTCCACGAAACAAACTGGTAAAAGTTTGCTGAAAATAATAAGGATTCTTCTACCAGATCTCTTCCACATGATGCAATTAACACAGCCAATCTATTGCATCTCATTGACACCTTCACGAAGGCACCTTCTGTTGTGATACTGCGAGTACTTCACAGGGGTGCCTAAGAAAGTACTCTATAAGACATTTTCTACTCTAGGATAGAAAAATCTTTTGTACTTCTCCTAAGTAGGCCTTTCAGAGGATGTATTACGGAGAGACCAAATCATACAAGACCCCGCATCTGTCCCAATCCAATGCTTAGTGATAGCAAAATTAACTGGACTATAAAAAGCTTTAAGCCCTTTAAATCTTCAGGATTAGATTGATTATTTCCCGCTCAACTTCTCATTTAGGCAAGCAAGCTGTAAAGTGGACTCGCAGCACCCATCACAATATCTGTGCTCTCGGCAACTAAAGTAGTATTCATCCCAAAAGCTGGAAAGTCTTCCCACTGTAATCCAAATGATTTCCAACTTATAAGTTTATTGTCTTTTCTTTTAAACGCGCTAGAACGAATTATAAGTCTTCATCTCAGGAAAATCATTCATAAATCTTTATTGCCTGAATCTCAATATGCCATTTTTACACTTAAATTTTTCAGTTCCTTCAACAATATTTCTTGAAAATTGTATACCCATGATTTAACACATGTAGCTTTACAAGGAATGACAAACTATTTTTTTCTGTTATTTATTTATATTATTTCTCGTTGGGGCTTGGTGCACGCAAGCAAATATAATTTTCGGCAGCCCAAATGTGAATTAACGATTCGAGCAGTGCGCATCTCTGATGAGGCGCAGTGCGCATCACTATTGATTGTCAACAAAGAACAGCTGTTCGCCGTTACAGATATTTAATCTGTCTGTAATGTTTCTGCAATAGCTCTGTTAGTTGTTTTAAGAGTCAGAAAAATATAATCAGTTAAATTCAAGTTTAATATGTTATGTTTCACTTAAGCAAGTCAACGCTTTTCTCCACTTCTTTGAAATCTAATTCGTCACAAAATTGTTGCAAAAATATTATTCTGTGAGTTTTGAACTACATGAAACATATGTATGCAACAAGTAAATATGCTGTAGTCGAGTGATCTCGACTACATTATACCCTTTATTGCAAAATTTCCCTTTAATGCACTCGCATATTAATGCATACAGGAAATGCTTTGAATTGCTGATAGAATTGAGATCACTGTCAGAATTCATTTTCGACTATAATTTGGATGTTCCTTATTTAATCTTGATGAAATTTTGGCAGTTGATAAAAATTATTGACTTGGCTGTTGATCCTGATCAAGAATATATATACCTTATCTGGTCGGAGATGCTTCAGCCTGTTACATACAATTGTACAGAACCAATTTACCCTTTTACCAATTTTTAATGTTCAGAGTTCGGAGTAAAATAACAGCTAAAATTGCTGTTAATGCATTGCAGCAAAATGTTAAATTTGTTGCTGCTCATAAATTATGTGATTTACATAGTTTGATAAGAATATTCGTGCGATTTGTGTCTTTGAAATGGAATTTGAGTTTGCTATAGAAGAAATTCCTAATTTGGTCAGAATAAATAGGCGGCAGCAGCATCGCGGTGCAGAGATAACATAACACAAGCAGCAGGCATAGTTATTCACGAATCAATGACGATTTTCCCGCTCTGTTTACGTAAATAGTTGCAGCTGTAAGATGGCAGCGGCAACAAGAACAGACCACAAAGCCAATCCACTTAAATCGTTTATTGCTGGAGGCTTTGGTGGTATTTGTAACGTACTCACAGTATACCCATTGGACACAATCAAAGTAGGTAAATAAATACTCTGAAGTAATTCACTTACAACTTATTGTTTACACTTAGGTGCGGCTGCAGACGATGCCTTTGCCCGCAGCTGGACAGTCACCCAGATACAATGGGATTGTAGACTGTACTGTGAAGACTTTTCGAACTGAGGGATTGCGTGGCTTCTATCGAGGCATTTCTGCTCCCTTGGTTGGTGTAGCGCCCATTTATGCCGTCATCTTCGCTGTTTATGCGGTTGGCAAGCGACTGTTCCAAACAGATGAACATATAAAGCTGAATTACACACAGATATTTATGGCTGGCGTTGGCACTGGCATTTGTTCAGCACTGGTTGCCGTGCCAACAGATCGCATTAAGGTGCTGCTGCAAACACAGTCTTTGACAAGGCCACGCAAGTACAATGGCATAATGGATACAGCTATAAAACTCTACAGAGAGGGTGGCATACGTAGTCTCTACAAAGGCACCTGTGCAGGCATGCTGAGAGGTGAGTGAGGAATAATAATTACATACAAATATTTATTAATTAAATTATGTAATCTTTTACTCCTCAAACTGCACTCTATATTTTTAGATTCACCAACTGGTGTATACTTTGTTGTCTATGAGGCCTTACAGGATTTGGCGAGACGGCGCTCGCCATCAGGGAATATAACAGCAACTTCTACGATATTTGCTGGTGGAATGGCTGGCATTACATTCTGGTCCATAGCTGTGCCTTTTGATCTGCTTAAAAGTCGACTACAATCCGGTTAGTAAACTAAACTAGTATCCATTCCGAACTCAATTAATCAGCATTGTACATTGCAAACAGCGCCCGAAGGCACTTATAAACATGGGATTCGCAGTGTTTTTCGGGATTTAATGGCAACTGAGGGTCCCAAGGCGTTGTTTCGTGGAGCTTCGCCTATATTAATACGTGCTTTTCCCTCGACAGCAGCGGTTTTCATTGGTGTAGAGGTGGCCAATGATTTATTGTATTCTTAGAGTATTTTTAAAGGTTTGCGCCAATTAGATGCTATTTTTTGAAATGGATTTCTTATGTAATTAAATGCGAATGTTTTGATAAGAGTTATTTTGGCAGATGCGAACAGCTGTTCAAATGTTATTCGGTTTTAAGCAAGTTGGCAGGGCCATTTGTCAGCCTGTAATTGCGATGAAACCGGGTCGTGCTTAGATTTCGTGTTCGGGCGACTAGCAAGAAGCGATACAAATAACATATAAATATCTAGATTTATGATAATATATAAACTCGATTTATAAATATATTAAATAATATTAAAAATAACTTATTGTGTGCAACTTGCAGTTGTGATATTAAATTCGCATTCGGGTAATTATCAGTTCGTGCAGAGTTGTGTTTGTGCTCATCTCTAGCTTAAAGATTTCATTCAACAAAACAATTGACACAGCTTCGGATTTAGGTATGATTTCGGCAGACCGCATTCATTCTCATTGATAAGAAAGTAAACAAACGCATTTCAGCCAAAAAATACTCAATACGACGTGATTCTGAGTGTTCGTCGATGTTTAACCAAAAATAGACGGCAACAGATAACGGACTTTGGACCCCAATTGTGCCGGCAAATGCAGTCGCTGTGAGTTGAAATCAAGATTTCGTTGGTACGTAACACGCCTTCACAGTCGCCCGAAAATCTTTGGCATATTGTATTGATAACGCAACCCGTTCAGTTTCGCAGACAACATCACTGGCATTTGCAGGCCAATCAGTAAACGCTTCGCACTGCTGCCAGCAACAGGTTCCGCTGAGCCACTTATTCACTCGCACTCACACTAAAACTGCCGTTTGCTGTTGCCAGCGCCACGACAGCGATATTTTGGAGTTTGCTGATTATTCCTGCTGACCGTTCAGGTGAGATGCATTTGAGCAGAAGTCTCTCAGTCTCAAGTGCAGTCTGAGTCAAATCCTTCAAATGATGGCGTAACAATTGTACGCCCGCTAATCCTTATCGGGTATAGTACAATAACCAGACAGAGATTAGGCAAAGATTATGGACAGAGTGCAAATTCCAAGCAACACGATTTCGAGACATTTGATAAATAAATAAACGAGTGGGCGGCGGAAGTAAAACACAAATCTTTTAGTATCAGTAATTAAATTACAATGTAAATATAATATATGTTCGCGTGTTGGTCACGTCGTAAATAGTATTTTCATTAACATAACGAACATTGAGCTACAACGTTTTTTTTTATGAGGGCTAAAAGGGTTAAAAGGTAAATTACCAATAATGAATAGACAAAATTATCACCTCAGATTTTTAATAACAAGAGACATTAAATATAGTACATTGAAACACAAATTAATTTCTATCGATAAGTGAATCAGAGGAATAAATTATAAATATATATAATTTTGTTTACAATGTTGCTGGAGCAATTATCCAATTTTATTATAGATTTTATAATTCAATTTTGCACATATGATTTTAACTGCACGTCGACCAGGTTAATTTTGTAGCACTTTTTCACAATCGACATTTAATGATGATTTCTGAAAATATCGCTACCCGTGACACTCCCGGGATAAAATCTGAAATCTTCGTTACTTGTTGGGACGGGTAATAAAATAAAGATTCTTTTTTTTTATTTCAATTAAAGTTGCATATTTTCAAGGAAATTTGTTTTGAGTAAATCACATTTGAATCGATAGTTTTTGAAAGCTTATTAGACTGATCAGAAACATAACATAACTGAAAACGCATTCTTATATTTGGAATTGATCCTAACTTAACGATGTACAGTTTTAGCAGTCTTTCAAATTCGGCTAACATGGCAGTTAAAGTTGAAAATGTGGAAAGTGCGACCACGGAGCGCAAGGCCAATCCGGTTAAGTCGTTCATCACTGGTGGCTTTGGTGGCATTTGCAATGTGCTATCTGGACATCCGCTCGACACGATTAAGGTGAGTTCTTCCTGTTGTTGCTCACTTGTTCCCCATGATAATTTATTAATTTGACCCTTGCTTTGGTTCAGGTGCGCTTGCAAACGATGCCACGGCCACCGCCTGGGGAGCAGCCCATGTATCGCGGCACCTTCGACTGTGCCGCCAAGACGATACGCAACGAGGGCGTCCGTGGTCTCTACAAGGGCATGTCGGCTCCGTTGACGGGCGTGGCGCCCATTTTTGCCATGTGCTTTGCCGGCTATGCGCTTGGCAAGCGTTTGCAGCAGCGCGGCGAGGATGCCAAGCTCACCTATTCCCAAATCTTTGTGGCCGGCTCGTTCTCTGGCATATTCTCCACATTCATCATGGCGCCCGGTGAGCGCATCAAAGTGCTCCTCCAAACCCAGGGCACCGGCCCGGGTGGCGTTAAAAAATACAACGGTATGCTCGATTGCGCCGCCAAGCTGTACAAGGAAGGCGGTCTGCGCAGCGTATTCAAAGGCAGCTGTGCCACCATGCTCAGGGGTAAGTTAATTTATTAAATATAATTATTGAAAATTGTGGCACCAACTTAAAGCTGCGATTTATTGAGGCAGCAACGCATCTTTTTAAAGATTGATCCTCTGAGAGTTATATTGTCTAATTAGTCGGCCGATATCGATGATATTTTGTATAAATATGCAATTCATAATAACACACTTAAGATGCTGTAAGCATCAGTTTGGTCGGTCAGTTTGTTCTACTGTTGATCCAATTATTGTGTATTTGGGTCCATCGAAGCTCGATAAAAGATACAATTCGAGCTTATGCCAATGAAATGTTAATCTGACCCAGGCTAGGCTGAAAATTCTTTTGTACTCAAAATTAGATAATATATCTTTGAATTTAGATGTAATATTATACATATTTATTTGCATTTGTAAATTATGATACCCACAAGTTTTCCAATTGAATAGAATTCATTGTTTTATTCTTTTGTGTTAATGGTGCTGCAGCTGAGCCATGATCGAAATATTTAGTTGAGTTTCAGTCCAAGTGTGCTTAATGATTTATTTCAATATGTCTAATTAGGTTAGTTCGCATTAAACATTCATAATTAATTATTAATTATGTGAAACTTATGGCTAAACTATGTGCGAGTGTTGCTTGTTGCATGTTTTTCTTTTTGTTGTTGTTGTTAAATCTCATTGGACATTTCCATGATGTCGTTAGATTGTGGCAAGGATGCATCAAGCTCCTGCTGCATCTGTTCCTGTTGCTGCTGTCTCCGCAGCAAGCTCAAACGATTGCGTTGCGCTAGGCGAGCTTTATGCTTTCGTTGCCGTTTCTTTGAGTTGCTACCTTTATTGTTGCCACGCTGCTGCTGCTGTTGCTGCATCTTCAGTTGCAACTTGCGCCAATGCGGCAGGCCTCGTGTGCTGCCCGCCAAGATGAGGGGGGCGTCGCAGTAGAGCTGTCTGCGCAGCACATAGTAAACGCTGCGTCCATTGTAGTTGGCGCAACGCGGCACCAGATTCTTGTCCAGCTCGTAGCTAAAAACATGCCGGCAGAGCGCCGGCTCCCCGTTGATGTCGTGGACGCAACGCTCGACGCTCGGACCGCGCACCGCATTGGTTAGCCGGGGCAGCCAGTTGGCCATGTCGCAGCTGCATTGCCACGGATTCTGATTGAGGCGGGCAACTCGCAAACGAGGCAGCCGAAAGAAACTGGTTGGCAGGGTGCTCAGCTGATTGCCTTGCAGCTGAACCATTTCCACCTGCTGCTGATCATCGAGCAGACCGCTCGGCACATGTCTCAGATTGTTGTGCGCCAAATTGAGCTGCTCCAGGCGCTTGACTCCCAGCAGCGCATCCATCGAGAGCTCCGCAATGCCGCAGTGGCTCAAATCTAGCTCACGCAGCTGCTGCATGCCACTAAATGCATCCAGCTGTACAGACTCAATGCTGCCGCTCAGATTCAGTTGCTCCAGCGAATGTAGACCCTGTGGAAAATATGTTCAGATTTAGTACAAATTGACTTAAAAAAAACAACTTCAAACACCTCGAATTTATCACATTTATCACTTATAGAATTATTTATTTATTTCTTTTACCGATTCTAAAATTGTGAGTATTTTGCCATTTGATGCTAATAAATTTTAATTTAATTACTTGGGAATTCTTGGAAATATTTGTACTATTTTCTTTTTCCTTCTCTTGAAATGCTTATTGGTAAAATAATTTTGTACTTTGAAGAGAAAAGTTCCAAAAAAATAGTGAAAAAATAATAGCAATAATGGAAATCGATGTTTCGCATAATTGTTTTTATAGAAAACATTTGTCTTAAGAGATTTGTCATTAAAAACAAAATATGAAAAAAATTATACCACATCTGAACTGGACATTGGATAATCGACAACCATCTCAATCCCCAATAATGATTTCTGCAGAAGTTGCAAGGTGAAGGAAGAATAGGAATCTTTAAGAACATTAGTTCGGCTCCTGCCAATAAAATATTAAGTGAAGTTCCTTTCTAAAACGTTGGAATATCTATTTTAATCAAAATTGATGGCTCTAAAATATTTACTTTAGTTAAAGCCGTTAAAAGTAGTAGATAATTGCCATTTATAGTTGCCTTTTAGTTATGTTTTCAAAAAAGATATAATTTTTTACAATGAACCAAATTGGCTTCCTCACAGTCTGTCAATATCAAATGGTGATCGTTTCATATTTACTGTGATCAAATAGATCTCCAAGAATACCTTCAATTCATCAATTAATCCAATTAGCAAAGCTTATAAGCGAAACTAAAGCTGTGATTTAAACTATCTGAAACAGGCTTAAAAAACATATTGAATTCAAAGCATTTTTACCTTGAAGACACCCTGCTCCAAACTGGGCGTTGTGACATTGCTGATGCTCAGGAGGCGCAGCTTTTGCAGTGAATCAAACTGGCCATAGTTGTTATAGGTGCGCAGCTCGAGTGCCACCGACTCAGTGCCCAGGTGCAGTTCGCGTGTATTGTTCATTACCCAAAACGTGCCCGGATATATATACATGATGGGATTCTGTCTTAAATCAGCCTTCTCCAGGCGCGGCAGTGGCGGAAAACTTAGCTCACTCAACAGCTCCAAGCGGTTGTCGGCCAGATTGAGTGTCTCCAGCTCGAGAAGACCGGCCAGGCCCAAATAATACAAGCGACCGATCGCATTATGCGCCAGCGACAGACTCCTCAGATGTAGTGCCCCAGTGAAGGCGAATGGCTGAAGTTCCGCGATGTTATTGCGCTCCAGGCTGAGATGATGCAATTGGGTTAGGCCGTCAAACATTTGCCAGTGCAGCTCGCTCAGCTGACAGTTGTGGATGCGCAACACCTCCAGCTGGCCCCAGCCACAGAAGCTGGGCATGCGCGACTGCTTCAGCAGCTCCACATGCTGCTCATAGCTCACAATCTCAATGGCCGTATCCGTCTCGAATTGCAGTTTGTATCTGGGTGTCGCCTCATTGATGCCATCCAGTTCACTGGGCGGCTTGTACTCGTAATCATCGCTGGGCAACTTGGAGTGCGTCGGACGCTGCAGCCGATCGCTCGCCTGCAGAATCACCTGCTCAAAGTTGGCATGCTGCAGCAGCTCCAGCGGCTCATCGATGATCAGCATTGTGGACCCGGTGCCCCGCACCTCTAACGTGCTCAGCTGAGTGAGTGGATGCAGACTGCTCGTATTCACTGTAATCGAATATTAAGGCGTGGTTCACATTTGCTTTGCTGTGGCATTTTAAGCATCGGATTTATCCAACATTGAGTATCTTTTGATTAAGTGTGTATCGAATTTAAAGTTAAGTTCTAGTAAAAATCGGCCAATTACATATGACTTGAATAGCTTATGGAAGGGATGCATATTTGTCGATTTTTCGGCTTATCTTACTTTCAAGTTAATTTCTTTAACATAGTTTTCAAAAGTCAAATTTTAAGTCTCTATTTTTCAATATCGTTTAAAAGTCTGTTTTGATGCTAATTTTGTTAGATACTCGTAGGAGCTGTCTTCAATCTTAAAGCACGCTACAAGTGTCTAACAACATTATCATCAATCACTATCCGACTCTCCCCAAACTCCGATCCAAAATTTATAAGTCTGCAAATTATCTCCGGTCTACAAGGGCAATTTCTCTTCAACGTGCCTAAGATTACCGTTGAGTCTATCTCATATCTATTTAGAATTTTTAAACTTAAGTTTAAAGAGTATCACAAAAAATTCTTAATGAACAATTGCATTCATCTGAAAGCTTGAAGTTCGATTAAAATCTTCGACATTTTTTAAAAGTGTTATTTAAAATTGATAGTTAAAAGCTTGTTTAAAAAGCTGATATATAAAGTAATAAAAAGTATTTATGCACAATTGCTTTATTTAATACTTTATTAATTTGACTTGTGCTCACGGCACATAAAATAATAAAAATTAGTTATTTATATTGACTTTATTTACAACGAGGTTAAGACAATTCCGATATTCTTCTGTTTTGTTGGATAAATCGATTAGGTGATTATTATTAAGCGAATGTGGTAGTTTTTGCAAAGAGCGACTTCGTGTGGACTCACCCGTCAGTTGACTGGCTGAGCTGCCCGTATGTAGAAGGATCAGTGCCTGCAGATCAATGGGCAGGGCATTGAGCAGCGCCTGCGTCTCGCCCTGCTCCTGCAGCAGACAGGTGGCCAGCTTGATGTGGTTGGGCATTAGATATTCTGTATAGGAATCTGCACCCTCCTCGCTGGTCATGTGATTCACCCAGCGTGCTATGGGCAGCTCATTGAAGGGGGCATATTGGCAAACACAGCTCACGGGGCAGCTCATCACATCCAGTTCCACCTGTGGCTCCGGTTGCAGTTCCAGCTGTGGCAATGCTAACTGCAACTTGCATCGCTGTTGTGTGTGGATGTGTGTAGAGTGATTGCAACTAAATATCAAGTGTGTTAATTAAAATGATCAGATATCCACTCACTAGCAACAGCACGATCAGCACTTTTATCAGCCGTATTGGCGGTAACGATATCATTATTATTATTATTATTAATATTACTGACGCGGGCACTTTTTTTTTTTTTGCTTTTTCGAAGCAGGTACGCATTCCTCGAATTCCGTTCATACACTAAAAAGCAGTCGCATGGTTCCCATCAGACTGCCAGCGAAATCAGCATACAAATTTGAACTCCTATTGTTATTATTGTATTTAACGGAAATGAATTTCAGATTGTCACATCCTCCGATAAGCGTCCATTCAAGTATGTAGTATATATATAAGGGCGTCTGCAAGGGGACTCAAACGCTTGGTCGCCAAGAGAAAATCTGCCATAAAATACTTAACTTTAGATACTTTTTTCAAAATCTTAAAACAAACTTGTTATCATTATTTAAAATATGCACAAAACACAGCTCAACCCTCCTTGCGAAAGTCTGGTTACACCCCTGTACATATATATGTATATGTGGACATTAAATTTCTTATATACTGCAAGAGCGACAGTTTGAGAAGTTTCTCCACGGCTTATATTGAGCACAAGGTCGCATCTGTCTGATGCAAAAGTTTTATAGCAACCCGTCTTTCCCTCTCTCTCTCTCTCTGTATATATATAAAATATATGTATATATATACTGTATGATTTCGGCTTAGTAACTTCTGAGAAATGGGTAGGAATTATTAAAAAATAGTACGTTAGAGAAATAACTTAGGCACGCTTAAGATTACATAACATTATAAGTGTCAAAAATCTACCGATTGCTCCCATTCAAATTAAATGGTTTAGTAGTCTAACGTTCTTTTTAAGTGGCAATATTACAATAATACTAGTTTAACGGTATTTACAGATTAAATTGAAACACAATCAATTTAAATGAACTTTATAACAGTTTTTTTAAATTTGAGTTTAGATAAAATATAATTAAAATTTCATACAACAGTTTTATATATTTTTCGTTTATACAAGTCAAGGAAACCGATTTATTAATTTAGTTAGAGATCTCAGAGACTTTTTGATCTAGAGAATTCAAATAAGGAAAGTAAGTGGTTGTGTATCAAACGCTGATTAACTTTATTTCATTTGATCGCTGTCATCATTAACAATGGTAAATTCTGTACGAATTTACCTAGCCATAACATTGATCAACAGATCAGTTAAAAGAGGCTGAAGAGCCCATGCAGGGGCTACTGCATTCCTACTGGTTTATTTGTAAATAAAATAATTAATTTAATTACCGAATATTAAATCAACTACGCACTCTATGTAGCATGTACAAAAAATTGTAAAACCCGTTTCGGTCATTATTCAAATTATTTATCAAATCGATTACGGCGTTAACAACACAACGATCGTAAATTGTCTGCCAAACATTATATTTGTATCTTCAGTTGTTATCTGCTTTAAAAACTAGTTTAGCTCATTTAAATATTACAAGCAAATTTAAAAATAAATATTTTTTTCTCTCAATTTGTTGTTGTTTTCTTTGTTAGAATATCAAATATATTTTGATTGTTTCTTTTAAATTTATGTGAATTTTGTTTATACTTTGGTTCCACTGTAAATGGCCTATAGCCCATACATTTAACGCCCATTGTGTAAGTTATTGTGTGTGTATGTAATTATTGTATTATATAGTTCATTTGAATTTACTATATCACAGTACACAAGATATTTATGGCGCCGTTGAAGTCGCCGCTTGCTCTTAATGCAGAGATATAAACAAGTTCTCACAGTGTTCGTATCTTAATTCAAGAATATCAACAAACGAATTGGCTTGCAAGAATCGAAAATGTATTAAGAAGAGTTTTTTAAATGTGAGTAAGCTACAAAAACCACAAGTAGTTTGCTTCCTTAAAGTCGTCTGTTGTCACTTAATACATATTGTATAGTAGTATAGCATATACAGAAATATATATAACTTGAATGTTTACTAAAATGATATTTATACTATTTGCAGATCTGCCTGCCAACGGACTCTACTTCTTGGTCTACGAGTATATACAGGATGTTGCCAAGGCGCAATCGAAAACGGGTGAAATAAACACAGCCTCCACAATATTTGCAGGCGGTGCTGCTGGCATGGCCTATTGGATTCTAGGCATGCCTGCCGATGTCCTCAAAAGTCGTCTACAATCGGGTGAGTTTAATATATTTAGATACGTTCTCTTCTACATTTGACTTTAATACATTCATTCTTTGTTCAGCACCGGAGGGAACCTACAAGCACGGCGTGCGCAGCGTGTTCAAGGATCTGATTGCTAAGGATGGTCCTCTAGCTCTCTATAGGGGCGTTACGCCCATTATGATACGTGCCTTCCCAGCAAATGCGGCTTGCTTTTTCGGCATTGAGCTGGCGAATAAATTCTTTAATTTGGTAGCACCAAGTTTCTAAGGGGGAATTTTGTAAACTGTTTAAATTTGTCCGAGATAGTTAAAAGGGATTTTATTATGTTCACTTTAAAGCATAAGAGTCAGATAGTTTTGTTAAAAAATGTATGAAAATAAATGCATATTTTTCATAATCTTAATCGGCGTCTAAATTTAATTAAAACACTGTAAGTATTTTGCTTTTCAGCGTCTAAAAAACGAATAGGTTTAATGCACTTATGCATGAACCAATGAGGTTAAAGTAAGGAACAAAAGTTTGCCAATCTTAATTATCACCAATACATCAAAAGCTCAAAACAAAGATCAAATAAAACGAGGAACTGTTGCATGTTTTTAATTTTATTTATTTATTTATTTAATACCGATAATTTTCAATCGACACAGAAAAATCACAAATTTAAAAATATTATTGGTCTAACCTTTTTTGTCTGGATTATGGAAACCGCAGAAAACCTCTAATCAGATCATAAATAAAAAGTATTTAATATGAATTTAATTGCTTAGAATATTTAAAGTGAGACAGTCATTGACGAGTATATTAAATTCAATGATTGCTAAACTTGTGCGCTTTTGTAATGTCAAACTGAAAAGATAAGGCTGAGTGAGGATTTTCAAAATAAGAAATTAAAAAGTGAAAAACATATTTAAATTATAAAAATAGGTCAACAAACAATAAACACTAAGAAGTTAAATTTAAAAATAATTGGATATACGCCTCTATTTGATTAATAGTAAACATTCAGTTCGCTTCGCGATATGAGTAAATATAATTTGTTTACAGTTTGAGGGCAGTTTTGGCATGCACTGGCTTGTCAAGGGCGCTGACTTTTATTGACTGGTAATTTTAATTGGTAATTTTAAGTGGGGCCCAGTTGGACTAGTATTTTGAAATTATGCATTCAACGCTTGCATCACATCCGCTCTGAATTTTTGATGTAATCGACATTTAGTCTCAATTATCATAAATTATTACCGCATTGAGCTTTTAAGAATTATCTACATCTATATCTTGGCTACAGAGAACATGACGTAAAAATGCCTGCATGAATTACATGTAATTTTAACAGCATTCATTAAATTTTTATAGATGTGCCCGCAAACGGCTTGTACTTTGTCAGCTATGAGATCCTAACGAACGAATACAAACGTCGCTTTAATCGCCCCAATGTGGATCTGATTCCGGCTATTATTGCTGGCGGATTAGCTGGCATATTCTACTGGATTGGAGGAATGCCCGCCGATGTGCTCAAGAGTCGACTGCAATCTGGTATGTGGATGCTCCCGAAAACAGTATTGATAAATTAATTCAGTTCTGATTTTTCAGCGCCTGAGGGTAAATTTAATAATATAAGAGCCGTTTTCAAGGATCTATTGAAAAATGATGGAATGACTGCCTTATATCGGTTTGTATTTTGATTTTGTCATCTTTTTCGCGTTATCGATTAATATCGATGTGCTATCGAATTTAGGGGCTTCACACCTGTCATACTGCGCGCCTTTCCAGCCAATGCAGCAACCTTCTTCGGCATTGAGCTGGCCAATGCTGTTTTTCGTCAATTGGCGCCCGACTTTTAGAACTTATAAAATTCAGATTATGCAAAGACAATTATAGCAAACAAAATCTACAAATAAAGCGCAGAAAAGAAAAAACTGTTGTTTTTTGTATTTTATTTTTTATTTTGGGCTCAATATTTTAAGCAATTTACAAATTTATGCTTACAACTAGAATACAAAGTGTGTGTTGGTTGTGACAATTTATAAAAAGGAGAAACTTATAGTATGATTAGTTTAGATTGGCATTTACAAAAGGCGCATAGACCAAAGGAATTTAACAAATGCAATTCTTAAGCTTATCGATAATAAATCAATTAGTTACAATCTTAAGGCTCACCAGTAGCCTACAAATGTTTCAAGTCTCTTCCAACAAATATGCTTAAAATACTTTCTTTTTTTATATGCCATAATGCGATTTTGCTATCTATTGATTGCTTCATATGGATACTTAGGCGATTTTGCGATCGTGATTATCAAAGTTGAACAACTGTCGCTTCATATTCTCATGCTTCGATATAGTGTAGGGCGAAAGCAGCATCGGCAGCACATTCAGGGCCTTTATCTCTGGCAGTCGGATGTTGAGCAAATTGTGCTTGGGCTGCTGCGGCTGATTGCTCCATATGGGGTCGATCCAGAAGGGCAGTTTCTAGTGTGAAATCAATAATTTATTAGCATAAACACCAGTATGAAGTCACATAAAATACATATATATATACATATATAAATATTGTTTTTGCATTTAAAAGAATCGATTGTTCCATATAAAGAAATTAGTTGGGATTGCTGAGTTGGTTCATGATTCATTTTTAAAACGAAAAAATTGACTTGCTAATAATATAAAAAATATATACTTTTGCTACACTCTGACGGATAAATGATAAATTTCATTAAAATTGATTTTGGTTTTTTGTAACAAATCGTTTCTATTAACTAATAATAATGACTTAAATATAAAAAGAAAGGTTCAAATTTGCTCACTCGACTGAATTAAAAATAGAATCGCTCAGCGTTTGTATATATACGAAATTTTAGACATTTCATGTTTATAATAATATAATTTTAGCAACCAAAAAGGATTCTAATAATCTAGAAATTATGAAAGGGAATTGATTGGTTTTTATAAAGAGACAACGTTGTATTTAACATATATATCCTTTATTATTATAATTAAAATTTATATACCACTCACCTCCGAGGGCGGCGTATCAGGCTTGGGCGGCTCAAAGATGGAACTTATGGGTGCCACATTGCAGCTGACCAAATCATACAAATCTCGACCAGCATCCAACGAGTGCTGCAACATTGTCGACTGTTGCTGATATTGTTGTTGCTGCTGCCGTTGCTGTTGCTGCTGCTGCTGCTGCTGTTGCTGTTGCAGCTGCTGAGCCTGATGCTGATAGAAACTAGCCTGGCGGCGATACCACAACTTGCCAGACTGTGCATAGGGCATAGTCGACGTTATGGCAGTACTGGAGGCAGCAACATCGGCAGCGCAGAGGCTGCTGTTCAAATCACTGGATGTATTAAAGGAGCTGCTGCTGCAGCTGGTGTTGAAGAATGGCTGCGAGCTGTTCAGCGAGTTCTCCTTGTTGCTGCAGCTGCTGCACAAGCTCACATTGCCGGTGGCGGAGCTGTTCAGCAATGTGCTTGACATCACCGAGCAATTGGCACTTGGCGGCGAGCATTTGGCAGGAGCAGCTGCAGCAGCAAACTGCTCCTGATACGCCTGAAAACTGTTGACCTTCACTTGGGGCTTGTAGGCCACGTTGTTCACACTCACACTGCCCGCATACTCATTGGCAATGGCCCGAGTCTTGTGTGGCGGCGGTGCCTGGGCCAACGGTGGACGATTGTGCTCCCCGAGCGGTGTGCGGGAGCTGCGCTGAGCCTTTTGCTTCGCATAGGGCATCTTTAAGGAGCCAAACAGATGCCGATGACTGGCAATCGAGCTGAGACGTACTGTGATGATTAAATTGGCACATAAAGGGGGAAGAGTTATTATATATTAATTATTTTCTAGAGTAATTATTTTAAAATACTTAATTATATTTGTATTTAAATTTTAATTAAGCCGGGTTGGTTGGCTTCAGGAATTATTATCTAAATATAAATAAATAAATAACTAATTTTTTTCGCATGTCTAGAAAGTATTTCTTAAAACAAAAACAAAATTTGTAGCTTTCAGAACGGTTTTCTAGATAGGAACGCTTTTCACTTACGTTCACAATTGACGTTCAGGGCCACATCACTGCGCTCCTGGGTGGTACCCATGTTAATGCTGAAGAGATCCTCATGGGCCACAATCACTGAATACAAATTAGGGAAACCAAACTCAAAGGTGGAGGTCAGGCCGCAATCCAAGGCGCTCTTTAGCTCGTGCAGATACATGCTGGGACGTTGCTCCAAGAGACGCACAATGGAGACCAGGAAGCGCATGAAGCCGGTGAGGCGCACACAGTTCACATCCGACTCCACATAGATCTGAGAGAGAACAGAGACGAGACTACAGAGTAAAGAGAAAAAAGAAAAGTAAGGCTGACAAACCCACCTCAATGGCATGTCGCATTGCATGCAGTGAGGAATCAGTTAATTGCAGATTGTACTTGGTATTGAAATCAGAAATGAATTGCGTCTGACTTAACGGCTCCAGGGGTTTGAGCGATGTGGCAGAGTCTTGCAGTGCCTCATGTTGCAACAGCTGTTTGCAGGCACGATAGCAGAGCTTCCGGAATTCAGCATCATCGTTGTGACAGATCAGCCACGTGGCCTGCTCCTTGTGCAGCACCTCCACATAGGGCAGCAGCTCAATGGCGATCTCAATATCCGTTACGCCCAAGGTTTGCGGCTGCATTTGATAGCCATACTTTTTCTTGTGCAGCTTGAGGATCTGGTCCAGCTTCATGCAGTTGGTCGAGTTGCCAGTGGCATTCCGTATGAGTTCGCCGCACTGCTGCGAGAACACACGCCGGGCCACCTTCGGTGAGAGCATTATCTTCTTGTCCTCATCGCTGGTCAGCTCCAGCTCGACAACGCCATTGATGGCATCCATTAGGTCCGCCAGCTTAAGGAACCCATAATCACTGAGCCGGCACTGATAGGCGAAATGATAGTGATAGGAGCGCACAAACTTCTGAAACAGTATCGTGTACTGGAGGGCATTCTGGAAGAGCTCAACCATTTCGCCAGCGAAGACGCAGATCTTCTCCAGCTCACTGTTCGTCTGCTTACGCTTGGGCATCGAGATGAGGATATCCTTGCCCTGCTGCACCGTGCTGAGCACCACAATATGACTGTTGGCCAGACCATCCAATATGTCCACAATATCACAGACACCATAATCGGTGACATCGAAATTGCGATTCTGCGTCTGGGCAAAGATGCCCGGCAATTGGGAAAGCAATACGGAATTGTTGCCATGGGCACGAAGCACTCGCAACAGATCCGATGTGAAACGTCGGATTTGGGTGCGATGTGTGAGGGTTATCTGACGATTCTCGCCATCGCCCATAATCTGGACGACCGAGGAGAGCGCCTCGAAGAGCTCAATCAGTTTGGTGTAGCCGTAGTCGGCAACGCGACACTGTTTGCCAAAGTGATTGTGATAGGCCGGAATGAAACGATTGAATTTCATTGTGGACTTGGGTGACATTTTCACCAGTTCGATGACCTCGCGTGAGATCTGAAACAGTGGATCGGTCACCGAGTTGTTCTTAAAGTAGCCGCTGCTGGAGCCAGCTCCGCGATCAGCACTATTCAGATTTACACTGCCATTGGTCATATTCGTGCCGGCCGAGGGCAGATCCTTGTTTAGCTCCAGCCAACCGAGAATCTTGATGCCAAAGTTGTTCACCTGGATCTGTATGCCTTGGACACAGCAAACGAGATGTTCCAAATTGACGCCACTTTCATTGGCGGCAATCTGCACCTTCAGCTGTCCCTCGATGCAGTGCAGCAGCGTGGCAACGGGTATATCGCCCGGATGATGTTTCAGCAATGGATATATCAGCTGCTGGATCTCTGCTATGGTCATACAGACATTGGGCAATGGTTCGATCTCCTGCTCGGCCCAGCCCTTGTGCTGCTCCCGCTTGAAGTGGACCGTGCAATAGGGCACACTGTGCTGCAGTCCCTCCATCAGCGGTGAGCTCTCCAGCGTGTTGACCAGCTCCGGCTGCAGACTGATGAATTTATCCTCGTTGTTGTCCGAGTTGATGGTGCAGATGTCCTGCATCTTGTACAAATCCAAGACACTGATCGACGTTTTGAAGCGTGACTGGAAGAGTTCACGGAATTTATACATCGGCAGTGTATAATACGGAACATCCTGTGGATGACAATCGTTGCATTATATGAGATGACTAGGAAGATTTAGTAACAAAGGTTCCGCCAGGGCGCTGAAGACGCAAATGGTCAAGTTGAAAATCATTTTGCAAAAATTGTGAAAAAAAATAGAATCCTAAGTAAAATAAAATACGAATTTTTTCGGAGAACCCTTTTAAATGACAAAAAATCCTCTGTTATCTTAAAAAGAGATTTATACTCTTTGGAGTTCCATTCACAAAACATTTAGATCACGGTTTTATCTAGATTACTTCGACCTTAACATTGTTTCTTTTTTCTTAAAATGTGTAGCATTTTAACAATTCCACTAAAATATATGCTTGAAATCAATAAATTGTTGTTTCAGACACATAGATTAATTTTTGGCTTAATCTGAATTTGTATTCAGTTAAGTTAATGATTTAATAGATGCTAAAAATCAAAAATAATGTATATTAAAGATTTGACTAATTGGTGTCTACTCTTCGCATTCAAGTTAAAAACGGCATATTTGTTAAGAAATTATATTTCTAAAAACCAGCCTTATAACTTAGAAGTAATATTTATAAATTCGAATCCTTAAATTGTCGGTTTTGTTACTCATATTATTATTAAGCATTTGTATTTTAAAAATTTATAAAATTCTAATATAGCAGTTGTGAGCAGAAATTTTTTTCTCAATTTTTTTTTGCTAGATGCTAAAAATATATTTCTTACAAATTTAATTATTTCTGACAAATATAAAGTCTTTCTGAGTTTAAGAATATATATTTTTTTTGGTATATTAAGGAGTTATTTTCAAAAACAATAAAAACTTTTAAGGCGCCTTTCCGAATATCAGGTAGACTTTTTTCTGATTGTAGTGATTCCTGACTTAAAACTTATCCGTATACTGACCTTCAACAGTCCGGCCACCTGGCATCGAAGCGTATTGATCTCGGTGAGCGAAGAGTCTCGCGTATAACTGACCAGCATGCGCTTGTGGCCAATCTTCTTGCGATGCAGATTGGATACCACCTGCTTGGCAAACTGTTAATGGAGAAGGAGTGAAAGAGGAGACTTTGTCTTGGTGATGAGTAGACTGAACTTACATAGAGATCGGGCACAGTCACCTTGGCATACGAGCTGGCCTCAAAGTTGAGGGAGACGACGGGCGTGATGGGCTTCAGTTGATTCATGAGGAAACTACGCAAACTGGCCTCATCCAGCGAGTAATCCAGATTGGTAATCTGCAGTGTGACCGCATCGTTGGGATCCGTGACACTGGCATATGCCGACCCGCCCGTTGTCTCCACAGTGGAGCTGCTGGACATCACTGAGGCGCCCGAGCTAGGTGCCATGGTATTGATCAGACCATTGCTGTAACCATAATCTGCACCACAAGTAGCTGCCGCCGATGATGTCACGCTGCCTGCAACACTGACACTGGACACAACTGAGCTGACGCTGCTGCTAACCGATTGGGGCAGCGAGGATGTGGACATGGCCAGCGGAGGTGATGTCTGCTGATAGATGGGCGCAAACGTTGCCTGATAATTGCTGGCATAGCCACCCAACGACATAGACGCCGCCTGATGTGGCTGATGACCCATCAGGGGATGGCTGCTGACAGCGGCCTCAGCAGCTGCCGCTGCGCATGCCCGATTGTGATTGTAGGGCATGTAGCGGTTGCGATTGTAGCAGGAGGTGCTGCCATTCGCATGTGCATATTGGCACACCTCCACCTGGGTGGGCATTGCTGGCGGCCCCCCGCCACCATACTTGTGCGGCAACAGGCCAGGTGGCGCCGCATACCCGGCCAGTCCATTAAAGTAACGCAATCCGGTGGCGCCTCCAGCATTATTATTGTAGTCGGCACAGAGAGCGGTGGGCGGCAGAGCCGGGGCATAGAACTGCGATTGCACGGCATAGTAGCCACCGGATGGATTTTCACCCACGCCACCATCGCAGCCAGTCCAGCTAAATTTAAGTAAAAAATTTTACATATATATATATATATATGTATTTATTTATCTTCGAGTATGTCACAAGTTTGTAGCGTAAAATAACTATTTGAGAAACTTGGTTTATTTTTTTTTATTGAAAGCGACCTTAACTCGGTCCACAAACTTTAAAATTATTTTCAAAAATGTTAAAAAATAAAACTAAAGTTACAAATTAAATAATTTTTAAAAATATAAAATATATCTGGGGGAATTAAAATGTATTTGTTGCAGCATTTATTGGATTTGGAACTCAAAAATAAAACGAATCAGACCTAAAATTCTTAAACCTTGAATTACTTAATATAAAGGAAAACTACGTAAAGGAAAAATAATGAATAGCTTCTGAGCGGATCCAGTTTGAACTTGGTAGTTTTTTCAAATTCAGATTCGGGATCGGAACATAAATTTAATCTTTTCTTAGAATTCACTACCCTAACTGAATCGTATCCCTGTAATTGTATCGGAGCCAAAACATTTTAGGTCAGCTAATACCATCATAGATATTTTGTTATATATGTATATATAATATACATATACATATATATATATATATGTTTTTTTGCCCAAATGCCAGAGTATTTCCCAGTCAATTCGACATGATTGAAAAGTTCTCACTAATTTTTAAAAAATTTTGAATTATATTTATATTTTTACTTATTTATTTTGAATTTTTATGCACCAATACGCAGCCGAATACTGTAAAGCAGTTTAGAAAAATATCAGAGTTCTTTTGGTGTAATGCTCTGCACCAAATATATGACAGCTACTCAGGCATAGGAGGGACTTAGGAGGCATAGAGAAGTATGATATTGAAAGGGTCATTAATTTCTTTCAGCCAATGCTCAATAATGTCAAGTTCACCCTTGGCGTCATTAATAATTATCTTAAAGCTCGTTATCTTAATCCGATTAGAATCTATCTGCCGCTTATTATTCCGGTGCAATTATTTTTTTATTATATATTTTTTTTACTATTTATATTTAGTCAGTATTGATAAATGGTATATTTTTCCAATTCACACATTTAACAGCGGCTTATTGAACTGTTTATTGAGAAAACAAAATATGTTTATTGGAAGATCGGTTAAGTTTCGGTTAACCAATACTAAGTTTAATTTATCGTTCAATTATATATAATTGCTTATCAGCACTTCCTTAAAAATGGGGAATTATTGTGTCTTCATAAACAATAAATTTTATTTCTATTAGCAGTTAAGGCTCAAATCATTTTCAATTTTTCGTTATATTTTAATCTTCATATATATAAATAATATACATTTAAAAAAATAAATAAAAAACCATAGTATAATATCCCATTTTCCATTCAGGGCAATATACAGGGGATCAACTAGTCGTATACATCCCTTTGCAGCTTTTTTAGTCGTTTTTAATGCATATATGCATACATTCATAAGGCATAAGTGTCGATTTTAATTTAAATAGGGCAACAAATTGTATTGGAATTGTTTTGCAATAACAGGTCGTTATTGAATAACGTCAGCAATCCGCTTAAAAGGCAATTTTTTTTTTATCCGCCTGTTTTTACATGAAATCAGATAATATATTTGAGCAGTGCAAATATTTGGCATAAGATATGACAGGCGCTAATTGCACTATTTAATGCTAATAAATACAGTCCCATTTATAAAGATATGTGCACATTGTAACTAGAAAAAATTGCTACTCACCTATACAAACGCTCCGTCATTTTAACTAGTACTTTTTATTGGAAACTGGAACTGGAATTCGAATTGGAATTGTGTTGTAGACAGATTGTAGTCGCCGGTGCTTGGTACCTCTGGACAGACGCTTGCGGTTTCTCTGGAATTTAAAAGACAAACAGAAAAACCCATTAATAAAACTATCTTATCATTTGCATGTGGAAATATGTGTTCCACTTTCGTACCAGATCAATTTAAATCAATGCAAATGTAATACTTTTGTTCACTTAATTTCCACCGATTGTTGGACATGAAACGATTTGCATGCGAACATCAATAAAATAAGTGTCAAACAGATCCACTTTGATGTGTTCGATTTGGAGATACCCTGTAGTAAGGCCTAAGGAGCGCTGATACATATTTATTATTATTATGTATATATATATATTTATTATGTAATATTTGCAGAAATATACTTCCAGTCATAAATGCTGAATTCATTTCGATAACAAACTTGAAACTGTAAACAATTAAGTTTAGTTTTGCCGAACAATTGTGTTTTTGAATTAACATTTTATAGCCAAACTTTTTTTAAGATGATTTACTAAAAAAATATACCCACATGCTTATATATATATTTATAGTGCAGATACACATATTTTCCATTGTTGAGTATAATAAATTAATTGATCACTTCGATTATTCAAATGTATGGCATTTATTATGATTATAGGGTACAAGAAAATGAAAAGCCCTACAAATGCTAAATACATCTATTAAATCAGTTTGATTACAATGATTTGCATCAAGTCATAAATACAATTAAATAAGAAACGCTTTGAACTAAAAAACTCAATTAATAACCGGCTTCATTGGCAAAACTGTTTCCAATGTCAACACATCAATGCTGTTGGCCGCGGAATAAATAGCGGGAGACGGAGAGAGCGTGTAAAAGTTTACCGCACATTATTTCAATTACACGATTCTAATGTATTGAGTGACACTTTTCCATTGGTAACTGTGTATTAAATACAGTTAGTTTTTTACAGTGTGACTAGGCTGATTTGTAATGGAAATTTTTGTTGAAAACATGTTCGTTAAGGGGATTAAATTAAATTCATTGACAAATATGCATATATCTAATGGAAAAATTTAATAATCAAGTTACACTCGATTTAGTTTCCATGACTATACACTTAGTTCTATGGAATGTAAATTAAAACAAACTATATTATAAATTCCTATTCTCTTTCCATCGATAGAAATAAGTTATTATATTATCTTAATGATCAATTTGTCACAATCATTATATAACATTTTTATTGCGACACTGTAAGCTTTATATTATTTTATTGCACCACCGTTTTTTTTTTTTTTACTACCGAGCACATGTTCAGCTTCGAACCACTGTAACTTTTTTCATATACTCACGTGTGCAAGTGGAAACAAGAACTGAGACTTTTCGGCGTTAATAAACCACCAACTTATATTTGTGCGCAATCAAATACTTTAAAATTCTATTAACAAATTCAATTTTTGTTTAAACTTCTCTTAACAAATTATGCAATGATCGAAAAATGAAACAAATACAAGTTGAATAAAATCTATTTAAATGGGCGTAAACTTTAAATAAAAAATATTTAAAACAAAAAAAATGGAAAGTCGCGTGTTCTTATGACCGTTTAGGAGCGGATTCCGAAAATAAATTTCAATTATATATATATAAAAAAACACTAAGGACAAACAAAATTTCTGGCTTCTTGGTCTCGTTTCAGTGTGTGTATCTCGCTGGCAACTGAAACGCTTGGAAGGAGCTTTGGCGCCAAGATAATGACGCGTGTAGATTGGAAGTGTTAAATTAGGGTTGCCAGCGGGGCGCAATAAGACCGTGACCTTCCAGCATGGTATATCGCCTTTTACTTTTCGGTTGGACACAGGTTTCTCGTGTCGTATGCATGTGGCAGCCACACAATAAACAGATGCGGAAGTATGTTCTTTTTGGCCATGCAGCTACTGAGTTTGTTGTCCTGTTTTTCTGACAAAACTGATCTCATATCTGTGAGTGCAGTTCACAGTTCGCAGTTGATCACTGTATTCAATCCCTTCACTTTCCTGGCCATTTACGTCACCTGAGCTGTATTGTATAATTTTTAAATACACCTGGTTTATCTTAATTGTGGGTTGCGTTGAGAACCTTAATCACTAATTGACCATGTTATGTGATGTAATTTTTTGCCAAGCTGTTCTACGGACTGGATACATATTACATTCATCAATATCGCTTTGTGCCGGTTAATCGGCAATCAGAACTTTCTAGACAAGAATAAACTATACAATTTGTGGCATAGGCAAATTCTTCTATATATTTTATATGTGCATATAATCATCTATCGTATGAATATAAAGCATTTGTTTTATCAGTCATTAGGGTCGTTGCTGCTGGCATCCGTTCTATGTGTGATATGAGAGAGCGGCTTTGGAGATCTTAGTTGGGAGCTTTGGCGCAATGGAAGGGTCGCCAGCCTTTTTCTAGAATATATAATTAGATTGGGAGTCTCTCAGTAATTTGATTGAATAGAAATGCATATCTAGCTAACTGAATGTCAAGCTAGAGTATCAAATTAATAGTTATCAAATCATAGGCATGCACAGGCGTTTTACAATTTGCAATTTACATACGTATATTTATTTAAATTTCAGGATTTGTTGTAAACAAGTTTTATTGATTGTTTTTTAAATGGTGTATTTTTAATTACATATCAATTGATTGGAATTTTTGAACAAGCCACTCGTAAAGTAATTTCATGAATATGTATATATGTAAGGATACAGCAATTGAAATTTGCGCAATTATATAATATATAATATATATATATTTGACAGTATTTTAGTTATTAAAGTTTAATGACTTTGCATGATTGTTCAAAAATAAATTGTGAATAAAATCGGTTAATATATTATTGCTTATAATACGCATACTGAAAGCGACACATAATTAAAAAAAATGAAAATTGGGTTAAATTAAATTATAATAAGCTGGTAATACTTTTGTATATTCAATGATTTAATGTGAGCTAAAATGAGTACACAGTTTGTGAAAAATGTTTTAATAATTGATAATTTTAGATTAAAGTTACAAATAAAATTAGATAATATTAAATGGACGATATTAAATTAATAAAATAAAACAAGTGTAAAAAAAGATTTATTTAATGTTAAATATGTATGTAACGTGATACCGATTGACACAGCAAAATACAAAAAAATAAAGGTGAATTACATATATTTTAAAAATAAAATATATTTGTGCTTTTTAAATTAAAGTAACAATTTCTGGTGGTATTTAATTGCAAAATTGCTACAACATTTGTGACCTGAATTGCACATATCCCAGAAGAAATGTAATTAAGCCAAAAATAAATTTTACAATAAGTTTAAAATGTAGTTTTTAATGAAAGAAATATGAGTCTGTATAATTCGCTTTTCTTTTTAAATAATACAATAAATATAACTTTCTCTTAAACATGTCTTTAAAGAGTATTAAATCAGTCGTTATGCCTTTGACTTACAATTTACATATGTATGTAAGTAATTATGTTGAAAATAATTGTTCTCCCATTGGAATGGTATGCCGAATGCGACAAACATACAAACATACATATATATATATATATATATATATATTTATGTAACTACAGTTAGTTCTTAGATATGCTCTGCAGCTATGAGGACCACTCTGTTGTGATCTCTGCTATCGCAGTTTACACTCGTTTCAGTTTCTTCTCTTATTGTGCTGTGTGGCCGGCCTGCCTTTCCTTCCTTGTCGTCGTCGTAGTCGTCGTTGTCCAACGTTCGTCGCGACGTTCAACGACTTCTTCAGCTGGTTACATTGTACATTGTATTTTGATTAGAGATTTCGTTGGTTTTTTCTCGAGCAGCCCCAAGTTAGTCGGTTACATTTAGCTCAGCGCAGCGAAGGCAATAAAAGTGTGGCGTGCGTGTTTAAGTCAAAGAAGATTGTTATAAATAGTAGATGCCATAAATGGGGTTAAATCAATGGAAAATATGGTTCAGGGCTTCGGCTAAATAGACCAACGACTCTTCGCTCTTCGTCGCAAGACAAAGAAAACGAACACAAAAGTGCAATAAGCTGATTAACAACCAAACTGACCCAATTAGGGCCCAAAGTGTGTGGTATTCATTTAAGTTGACTGATGTCAAAGACTCGATGCCCTATTGTTGGGTCGAGCCAAAAAGCTCTTAACTTTGACTGGATTTTGTATTTCTGTTCATCTGTCTGCATGTTTGTCTGTCCGTCTGTCTGTGTTTGTCTGCCTATTTGTAGTGATCAAAAGTCGCGATTCTGATAAGACACAGATGACGATCCAATTTGACGCTCGAAAAGCCCCCATTGCATATTATAGATTATATACTTATATATACAATCAAGCCGTGGCACAACAGAATGATTGAAATGATTTTTTTTATTTGTATTACTTTTTATTCTTATATATTTGTATATACATATATATATATATATAAATATATACAACAAATATTTCAATCATTCTGTTGTGCCACGACTCATTCAAATTAAAAATCATTCGATTGCTGGCAGTTGCCAGCTTGAACAGTCGCGTTTTGAACATTTTCGAAATTTCTGGCTTATTGCTGGGAATTTGAAACACAATTTAAACAGTGCACAATCTATATAACAAATTAAGCTGAATTGCAAGTTGAAAGTGACTTCCAGGCGGCAGACCAAAATATGTTTAGAAGACCCAAAAGTGAGTATTAAATAGATGTGAATTTTTGTGTTAACAAATTCATTTTATTATTATATCATAATAAAATTAATATTAAATTTTAGTACGCTCGAATTTCGAATTCTATACAATTTTATCTTTGTAGAAATTTAATCTTAAAAAAAATCTACCTTGCTTATGTAATTAAACATTTTCAACCGGTGATATTTAAAGCAGGTAGTTAAAACTAAATTGAAGGTATAATTAATTAATTAATTTATTTATTAATTATTAATTTTTTACCTTGAACACATGGTAAATCGTAATACAGTTGTATAAAAGTGCTTCAGGGGCAGAGGAAAGCATATTCCACCTCATAAAATATATATATATACCCTTGATAAGCATCAATACCCGATGTGATTTAGCTCAGTCCGTCTGCTCGTATGCATGTTGATGTTCTCGTATATCCCGTGGAAATAAAATTAATTTTATTTTGTACTTTGTACACTGCCCTTATATTGATAATAGTTATAGCATTTCAATATATTTTGAATATACCTTTGGTACAATATTGATCAACTGGAGGCATTTCATGAATATCCGATAAGAAACACCGACATTCTCATGTGTGACACACGAGCCGAAATTTTTGTATTTACAAATATAATATATATGACCTTAAATCTTTGAATGCGTACATACATAAATCCATACATTTGTATATGCGAAAATGTTCTAGGCACTCGTTTGACGTCAGATTCGGGTTTGTAAATAAAGACATGCGCTTCCGTAAAATACAATTGAAATTTAATCAATGTGATTGTTTTTTTCCTTTATTTGTTATAATTTAATTTGATAGGAAATAAGAAATAAAATCCCTTATAACTTTTAAATTTGTTTCTTGAGTATTGGTTATATTATATTTTCATAAATTGATTTTTTATTCAATTTGCAACGACAAAATAAAAATAGGCCAATCAGCTGTTTCATTTAAATCAAGCGGCAATTTTGCCAAACATCGGAGACTTATATTGTTAAGAATGGGAATGTAAGAAATGTTGTTCATAGTGAAGTTCAACTTTTGGATCTTTGGATCTATCTCGATTAGCTACACTCTCAGAAACAGTCGCTATACGTTTGGCGCCAAGGTCAGTTTACTCGATTATTAGTAAGAAATTATATTTCTTTCTACTTTTGATTCACTTGTCAAAAATACAACTCGTAATTAACACATTTCATTTTCAAGTTCAGTTTTTAATTTTGAGGGATTTCCATTTTCGAAATTTCAGTGTTATTTGGTTGTTTCTCTGAGTGTTGCCGAACGTTTATTTTGATTCATGTTGGGTGGACATGACAGAAATTTATCTGGATGAAGTTAACAGCAATTTTATTTATCAGGTTTTGTGTTCATAAAATCTTATTATTTCATATATAGTTAGTCAGATAGAAAAATCATACTTTCAGGGCATATTGTCCTAATGCAACCTTATCAATTTGTCAATGAATTATATTAATATTTGCGCATTATTAGAATACTATGCTAATAATCTCAAAAACTAAACCTAGCCCACTAAAAATGATTATGTACTTCATGATTTGTTTTGACTAACATTTTTATGCTTTATTAATTGATGTGCATAGAGATACTTATCAGTGCATTGATCTCTTATTAATCTATAATGTTTGTTTATAAAAAATACAATCAATACAATATTGCCGGCATAGTGGCTTAATGCATGTTATTGCTGGCCCGCAGTTGACCCAAAAAGTTAAAAGTAATTTTTATATAA